TTACAAAAGAAGCATGAAAAAATCCTAAAGAAATTCAAAAGAAGTATTAAAATAAAATCTAAAATATATCTTAAATAAATTCTAACAAAATCTTAACTTAATTTTAATTAAAATCCTAATAGTCCTTACTTAAATCCTAAGTCAAATCCTAATTAAATTCTAAATAAATCCTAAATCCTAATCTACTCCTAAATCCTAACTAATTTCTAAATCTTAAACCAAATCCTAATCAAATAGACCTAATCTAGAGATAGTTTAAAACTTCAATAAATATCAATTATACTATTGATCTTGCTTAAGATTTTACAAATATTTTAACAAAAAAATTGGCAATAAGCATACAAAATTTGAAGAAGATCAAACTTACCAAGTAGAAGAACAATCCTAAATTTTGCTCGGGTGTTGGCTGGCATCATAGTCCAAACTGAATGTTGAACTTTCAGTTTAAATATTTCTTTTTTGAATCATTAAATTGCTTCTAAAATATACTTAAATTTTGAAAAATCAAGTCTAGTTTCTATAAAAAAGATTCACTTCAATCGTAGTAACAAATTGCTAAAGATCTGAGAAATACTTGTTAACCTTCAAATTCCAATTTTTGAGTTGTCAACCAACAAAAACCTTTACACACTTTGATTTGACTATTTGATTGACCTGAAAATTTTCTCATATGCCAACAAATAGACCACCAATAAATTATCCAAAATTCATCCATACAAAAACCACAAAACTCAAGAAATCCTTAATTTTATAAATATAATTTTATTTTTTAGAACCTAATTCAATTAAAAATATTATTAAATTTGAAAAACTTCCAAAAATTAAATATTAAATTGATTGACATAAAAGCAATGTTCAAAAATCTCTTTATAAGTTTGCTCTCAAATCTCACTCTTTGATCTATGAAAGAACCCTAAAATCACTGTAGGTATATGATTTTGTACCTTAGGATTTGATTTTGATCTAAGTTGACAATTGGTCCTCTCCAAGGATAAATATTTGATAATTTGAGGTAATTTTTGCTTGAATTTATTGATAACTGCCTTTTAAAGATGTTTATATCAATTATATATCTCATTTACTTTGATTTGAGGTATTTATGCTTCTACAAAGCAAATAGAAGTCTCTTCCCTAAAAGGCAACATTCAGACTATACTTTTTATTACCTTCCTATCATTTATCTTTGTTTTCTACTACATCTTCCTACTAGGCTCTTCTATAATAACATCCATATTTTTATTTTTCACCATATAGTCATGATACTGCATGACATCAGTAGCTTAAATCTTTCCACATTTCTGCAATGATTTTTGATATTACATACTACCTCGAGCTTCCACCTCACATCCAAGTCTATCCAATCTTCCATGTTTTGCAACTCAGCGAGTTTCATATTAAATCAAGGTGCTTTTTGGATCGACATCAACCACCACCACTATCAATTGTGATTGATGACTAATAAGAATATGAAATAGACAATATTTTGAAGCATCTGTACTTTTGTTATGGCAATGGATAACCACAACTTTAATGCAAGGTTGTTTAGAAAGGTTATCCCATTGACATTGTAACATGGAAACTTGCACAAAACCTCATCCATTGCCAAAAAATAATTTGGAAATACGATCGAGAGCAAAACAAGGACATTCCACATTAGTGGAAGAAAATTAATTGTAACAGGGTATAGATAAGATAATTATATTATTGATGCATAGAAATAGGTAATTGAGGTTATTTTTGAAAAATTTATAGAAGTTTTTAGAATTAGAGCCAAATTGGTGGTTTAGGTGGGATCCACCATAGAACATTATAGAAGAATTAAAGATGGTTATTTAGGTAGATCCCACTTCTAGAACTTTCTAGAAGGGTAGTTATTTTGATGGAGCCTACCATTATCGACATTCTAAAAAGTTCTAAGATAGTTACATAAAGTATACATAGAACTAATTAAGACCATTTGAGGCATTTGATTAAGTATGGCTTTGGTCTCTTTCTCTTAGAAAAGTTTGGTTTGTATTTTTTGTTCTATTTTATTTTAAATCCTTTTGCTTTGTTTTTTATGTCTTATTTTATTTTGTTCTTTTTAGTTTTGTTCATGTCCATTTTGTCCTAATTTGTGATGGAATTCATGTTGCTATAGACTAGAAGGGTTTTAGATCTTTGAAAGAATTTAGTCCCATTTTAGCCTAATAGAAAGATATAATAAAAAAACAAGAATAAATAATTGGAAGGTAGTAAAAACTTTTAATTTTAATGCTACTTTTTTATAGAAGTAACATCTATAAACTTTGTAGGGGCATAAATGAGCCAAGTTAAAGTAGGTGAGATAATTTATTGTTATAGATATTAATACACTATAGATTTGGACTATTTTTTATTTTTGAATATATAAAATTAGTTATATATTAATTATATTTATCAAAATCTATGAAGATCTATCTTACATATTTATTTTTGAATCATAAAAGATAAAAGATATATCAAAAAGATAAAAAATATAATTTTTATATATAATAATAGATAAAAATAAAGAATTTGAGGTAGAAGAAATATTAGAATGAAGCTAATACTAAAATAAGTTAAAATATCTTGTATATTGGTACACATATGATATTAATGAATGTAAATAGAAGCCATCCAAAAATCTTGAAAATGCAACAAAGAAGATTGATTCTTTTTATTGACAACATCAAACTAAAAAACAAAATAATACTTTGTTGTAAAGTAAAGAAGGTCCATTGATGATTGCATTCTATTTTTTTAATCTTTATTTGTGGTTTTTTTAGTATTTGTGTTGTCAAAGAGATTGAAAATCAACAACTACAAGATCCAATTTAGAAACTATCATTTATTGAGTCACTAAATGAGGCATTGAAATTGTCTTAACCTTCAAGACAACATAACAAAGATGAAGACCTTCAAAAATAACATGTCATTCTTTAATTAGGTGGAAAGATTTAACATATTTGATATTATGATCTTGGAAGTAATTTTTAATGTTTGATGATATTAATAGATATAGAGATGATTCTTAATGGTAGTCAAAATATTTTATTTCAAGAAAGTTATAAAGTCTTCTATATTTATAAAATAAGAAGGATGTCTTCTTGATTTGATATAAAAAACTATTGATGGTTGAAAGAATGTGTCAATTACATTTCATAGAATTAAAGATTAACGTATATAAAAAATATTTTTGCTACATTTTGGACTTTTTTACAATGTTATCATTGATCCTTCTAGAACTTATTTCTAAAAGAGAGAAATGATATCATTGATATATAAATATATCTAAATGTATATATGTATATATGTATATATATTAATAATTATTTAGATTAAAAAATTAAATAAAATAAGTAAAAATAAGTAAATTTGATGATATTTTACAGAGAAGTTTTTTAGAAGATTTATATACCTAGAGTTGAATTTTTAAATATTAATATGTGTCTTTAATTGACTTTTTGGATTAGAAACATCATCAACAAGTTGGCCATGTGCCACATATGTTGTTAGCTTAAAGACCAAGCTAACTATGTAGCCCACACGTAGAAAAACTTGCATTGTAAGTCAAGGCATGTGTCCTACAAAGTCAACACATATTAGAGGTCCTATAAAACGTCGCCACGTAGCCCCTAGTTAGATAGTATATATAGAGACAAGAGTGAAGCCCTCTTCACTCTTGTCAACTCCTTTCTTACTTCCAGTTTAGTTTCAAGGGTCTCTAATTTTCTTGTCTTTTGGCAATAGCCATTCCAGTTTTTCTTTCAATATACGTACTTGTTTATTTATATTTTGTAACCTTTCTTTGAATAAAGGCTCACTTTTCTGAATTACTTTTTCATCGAGTTCTTGTCCTTGACAATAAGAAACATGGACATGGATTGTATGATCTATAAAATATCATTATATAGCTCTTTAGTTAGATATTATATATAGAAGCAAGAGTGAAGCCTTCTTCACTATTGTTAATATTTTTCTTGTTCTTAATCTTGTTCTAAGAATATCTAATCTTTTTGTTCTTGGCAATAGCCATTTTAGTTTTTTTCATATAATTATGTATGATTTGCCTATGTTTGTTTCTTTAAATGTCATAAGAGTATAATATTTCTATAGTGTTTTATTGTAATTCTTATCCTTGACATTAAGAGAGGACAAGGATTCTTACTATAACATTGATTGTTGGTATATAAAAGTGGTTGTTGAAATAAGTTTAAGGACCCAAAAGAAATGGCAATAATTGTGACATTGAAAGGTAGGTAAAGAAATTTGGAGTTTGAATGTAGATTAATGTAATAATAATATCCATGTAATAAAATAAAATGCTGACATAATAAAAAAGAGGTGTCCACTTATAGATTCCTTAAGTTATTAATATCTTTTAAATATACTTGAAACTTGTTAATTCTTAATACTTTTTATACACTAATTAGATATAGTTTTATACTTTCATTTTCATTGCAACATGGTAATATTTAAATATTAAATTATTTATTTAGAAAACTTCTATATATTATAATGTATTGATTTTAATAGAAGACATTAGTTTTATTTTTATTTTTATGGAATTAATATAAAATATTTATGAACAATATATAGAAATGAATGCTTACAATTATAACACTCATATTTTAGATTTATATCAATGCAATAATAATATTTATTGTGCCATTTTTTGAGTTGATACCAATATATCACCACCATGCTATTCTATAAAATAATTATCTTTTTAAAAATATAGGAAAGAAGGGATTTAAGTTTTGGATAGAGTTGTTGTCTCGATCATGTGTGTTGCTTGCTTGCTTGCTAGCTAGTACCGAGCTGCTTAAATGAAGTATGTGGTGGGTAGAACTTTACATATATGTTTAATAGTTTGTCCTGCTTTTTGAAGGAAAGAGAGACTCTGCAGGAAGGAATAAAGAAGTAAAGCGATGAGGAACATGGAAAGAATATGGGGGGGGGGGGTCGTGTGTGTCGTATCTCGGGGCATTCATTCTGCCTTGCCTTTGCCCCCCCTCCTTCTTTGCCCTTTGCGTTGAGTTGCGTTGCACTGATCTCCATCTTCCCCCTTTCCCTTCTCTCCATGGCCACCCTCCCTCCCCTACTGCTACGACGACTACTAACTCCCATATATCTCTGTTTCACTCTCTTCGTTAGTTCCTTCCTGGTCGCTTTTTCAAATCTTACGGAGCGCGTTGCCGTTGCTTGTCTTCCGGGATCCTGCCCTTCTCCTCCTCCTTTTGCGAACTTGTAGCTGGCCAAAATTGGAGGTGTCGAGGTCGGGAACTTCAGATTGCCTCTCGTCATTGGTTGATGCGCTATTTTTATCGTTTGTGGTGAATTTGGCATGTTCCGAAACTGGTGTTTTGCGATCTTCTTCTTCTTCTTCTTCTTCTTCTTTTTCTTTGATGATGGTTGATCGTTTGATCAAGGATTGTGCGTTAGTCGGTGATGAGTGTGAGGTGGTAGTGGTAATTGGAATTCAGGGCAGAGGAGTCGTATGGATGCCGAGGTAGAAGTGCAGCGTGAGGCGGAGTAGGCCTGAAGAAGACAACATGTTGGAAGAACAGTTGGCGTTTTACTTGGAGAAGTACCTTGGCGCGTATATCAATGGACTCTCCAAGGAAGCGCTCAAGTTCTCTGTCTGGCAAGGTCAGTTTTCGCCCCTATTCCATTTCGGGTTTTGATCAGATGATCAGTGTAAGCGATTGGATTGGAAGTGATTCTGTCTAGTTGCCGCTGTTTTTGAAATTCTGCAAGGCTGACCGCTTGAAGACGAAGATATGCTCGGAGTAGGTTGTGCTTCGTAAGCATTGGTGAATTAATTCACGAAATCCTCAACACTATGTGGAAGATGGCAGTACTCACGGTTGATGAAATGATCATGTTCTCAATGCATTATTTTCTTGGCTCAAGTGCTTCAGTAATCTTAATTCTTGGGACGGAGTTGATTGTACGTCCTGCACATGTTCGTATAAATGCAGTTTGAATCTTGAAGCTTGCCTTCTGAGAATTTTAAAACACAAGGTTTTTGGTTTCGTACTGTGGTATAGAAATATTCGAGGCAAGGCACTTTGAGTAACTTTGGGTTATTGGCACTTCTGAGTTCCATGACCTACTATCTGTGTCTGTCATTGATTTTATTTATTTATTTATTTATTTTGTTGAACATTCGGAGTGTAGGAGATGTGGAGCTCACAAATATGCAGCTTAAGCCGGAGGCTCTCAATGCTCTCAAGTTGCCAATAAAAGTCAAGGCGGGATTCCTTGGGTCTGTGAGACTTAAGGTATGACGTACTTTTTATTGCTCTATCAATATGGTAAGCTGTCCTGGTTGTTACTTGATAAGGCAGAGTTTGGCAGGGATTGCTGCACATTACGCTCATCAAGTTTTTATCGCAGTTGGACGATTCAAATCTCATCTTTGCACAGGATTAGGGCTTGGACTAGAATGAGTTGGTTATGATCTTATGAAACTTCGTAATTTAACTTACGCCCACAGTTAATAGAGGACAGAGGATCGTAGACTATTTCCCATTTTGAGAGCTTTCCTCAAGATAGAGCTAATGACCATGATGACTCTAGGTCCCGTGGAGCCGTCTCGGACAAGAGCCTGTGGTAGTTGAACTTGACCGCATTTTTATACTAGCCGAACCTGCGACCAACGTGAAAGGAGGTGATGGCGACTCGGTGCAGGAAGCAAAGAGCCGACGTGTGAGGGTAATGCTCGTTCTACATGCCTTCTTGATTAGGTTCCCAAAAGATTTGTTATCGTAAGTGCTGTTGACCATGAGCATGGTCAGCTTGCTTGCACGCCAAACAGGGGCGGTTTACAAGCTCTATTGGCAGTCCATTTACTCATGTTCAAGGCTGAATTTTTTACGGGTGGCTATTCTGCATCTCTGATCAATGAAGAGAGGTCAACATAGAGTGATCCCTTTAATAGTTTAGACGAGGTGATTCACATCTGGCTGCATCATAAGATTGGAATTGAGAAGCATGATCATGTTGGAATCCCAGGTTTCGAATCATCTAAGATACTGCTGACGATACTCTTAGATGTTCAGAAATCGAAGCCAAGAAAATTAGACCTTCAGATAGCAGTATGCGAGCTTCATCAAATGCATATGAAAAATTCTGAAGCTTTGATTCACCGATTTTAGCTTGACCCTGCATTCTACACAAAATTGATTACCTTGCCGTGGGAGGTTAATTGCTGGAGTAGCATTCGTGAGGACGGTGATTTCTTGTGATGTCTGCAGGAAGAGGAAGAAAAGCTTCTGAGGAGCAAGGCAGAGCCCACGAGAAAAGCTGAAGAGGAGGTACATGATCTATCAATTGCTTATGATTTGATTTTTAGCTAAATCGTAGTTCTCACTTGCATTTTCCTAAAATTCTTGGCATTATTTGCGACACAAATCTACTACATTTTTTCAATGAAAAGATGTTCTATTTCATTTATTTAAATTTTAACTTATTATTATTATTATTATTATTATTTTTAATATGAAATTTTATGTGGATATATATATATATATATATATGTATATAAGATTCAGGTTTCTGGCGTTCTTGTGCATGCTGATAATCAAGTTGATGTTAGTCCACCACTTTGTAAGAGTTGTTCTGTTGCTGGTATCCTGAGGTTTCAGTCTGACACAAAGTGCAGGTTATGATATGATAGAGACGGAAATGAAATGCAAGTTTCTTGAATTGCAGAGCAACTCCTCATGGCTAGGGTCGTTAATTGGCACTGTTATTGGAAACTTGAAGCTGTCCATTACTAACATCCACATTCGATATGAGGACGAAGAGAGGTACGGAGACTTGTATAAATTTCAGACATACTTCATTTGTTTCTGACTAGAGACCTAATCTACTAGTCCAGCATTTCGAAAGTGTTTGCTTCCTTCTATTTATTGTTCAGTATGTGTCAAATCGATGAGTAATCAGTCTGATCAATAGTCCACTCAGTACTCACGCAGCAAGCTGTACAAAAAGATATGTTTGTTCATTAAGGCGTTTTTTTCTTTTTTTTTTTCTTTTGTCTTTTCCTTTCTGTCGCAGCAACGCTGGGCATCCTTTTGCTGTGGGTCTAACGTTAGCCAAGCTAGCCGCTGTCACCGTGGATGAAGATGGAAAAGAGACTTTTGTCACTGGTGGTGCACTTGACCGTGTGCAGAAGGCAAGTACCTTTTGTATTCTGAGAGATATTTCTGTTGCTCGAAAGCCTTTGCGCTGTGGAACTGTTGAAATGCATGTTGTGCTGAGCCGTTTTGCAGTGGACGTCGTTGGTATAGCTCCTTCAATTCTTGCATTGATGGACTTATTTCACGTGTGTAAATTCCGAATTTTTATTCATACACAGTAGTTATTCGCTTTGTATTGTATCGCTAACTGGTCATATTGTGAATATGCAGTCTGGAGAGCTGAATCGATTGTCCTTCTATTTCGATGCAGACACCAAAGCTTGGCCTATGGAAAAATCTTGGGATGAGATTGTGCCGCAGGATTGGAGCAAGGTACCAAAGCTTACTTTAAAATACGCTTGCAATAAGCACACTTATCGATTCATCATCAGTATGCTTGATGGTGTTTTGTATACATTTGGTAAATACTATATGTTTCACATAATTAGGCGCATAGTTAGTTGTTGTACCGAGGTGAGTTTTTATCCTCATTGGGTTGCAAGCTAGATTTCTTGATTCTTTTTTTCTTGTGATTATTTCTCATTGATATACAACAAGTCTACATTGTATGCGAGTAAAATCTATGTGGCGTCGTTCTTTTAATCTGTCGTAGTAAACGAGAAGGGATGTTCGATCCCTCTTTTTAAGGTCAAGTGTTTATCCTGCTGGCTTTTAGAAATTAATTTGACATGACTATAATTTTGTTGGCAGGTGTTTCTACCAGGCATTGCGGAAGAACCATCTGCTTATGGGAGAGAGAAGCCTCCCTGGATAGCAGATCACCAGTATGTTCTCGAGCCTGTTGGTGGCACAGCGAGGTATTTCAAACTTGGACAGAAGGATACACCTAGTCCAGATAAGCCCGCTCATAAAGCTATCGCTATATTGGATGATGTCACGATTAGCTTGACTGAGGTATATGTTCTATCTTCATTCTCTACTTTCGATTTTTACGTTATGGCTCATTAGGGAATGAAATTATTTAAACAGTCTGCATACCCCTTATCGTTCGTGGTTCTATGTGTTTTGTATTATTAATTGAAGCTCTTGTTTCTTTACAGCAGAACTAAATTTTCTCCTTATCGACCTTGTTTGTTTGTTTGTTTGTTTTGCATTTGGCGTTACCAATAATTTCTTTTTAAGTCTGCGGGTGTTTCTAGCGTGAGAAATTAAGCCTCTTTTGTACAATAGACTATTCTCATGGTGGTCCGATCATGTAGGAACAATATCGAGATGTTATAAAGCTGGCTGAAAATATTTCGGCGTTTAGTAAACGTGTGCAATATGCTCACTACCGTCCTAGTAGAAGTATTCAAGAAGACACGAAAGGGTGGTGGCATTATGCGTATACTGCTGTACTGGAAGACCAGAAAAAAACAAGGTGCGCCTAATTCAGACACTGAATATCGTGTTGTAATTGAACGAGCAAGCTTTGACTTGTAACGTTTTAGAATCTTATGGGTGATGGCCTTAAATATTTCACGAATGACCATATTTGGAAAAGGTTTGAAAATGAAGTTGGAGTGGTATCATTGTCGAGGAATTGTCCTCTTGATTGCATCTGCAAACGTCCCGGGATTGTGTCTCAAACCTTGGGCTGTGTTCTTTAAGCGTTGCGTGGCATACACAATGACTGAAGTGATTTAACAGCTGTTGCCCTTTAATTTTATTCTTACATATTAGTTGGTTGAGAACAAGTAAGCAGGGGTGTTGTTCACCAGGAACAAACGCACAAGCACAATGACTTCCTTGATCAACAGGTTCATATTGTTAATCAGCTCTAATTAACTCACTTTTTTTTTTTTTTTTTTTTTTTTTTTTTTAGTGGTCACCTTTCATGGCATCAGATCTTATTTTACTCAAGAATACGCAAACAGTATTTGTCAAAATATGTTGAGGCTCTTCAATCAAATCCAAAGGCTACGTCTATCAATGATAACAAGGACATTATGGAGTTGGATCGCCAGCTTGATTCTGAGATAATTATTCAATGGAGGTAATTGTACTACTTGCATGGATGTACTGGATAATATGTAAATTGTTTTAATTTACCTATTACTGTGCTCACAAACGTTTAAGGCGCTGATTTTTCGCTGCCTAAGAATGCTTGCAATAATACTAATAGTCAGCAACTTGATATTTCTGTCCCACCGATTCTTAACCAATATTTTACTTACCTCTGGTGTGTACAGAATGTTGGCTCATGCATTTGTGGATCAGGAGAGAAAAAAGGGTGAAGAAAGAGTTAAACGGAGCTGGTGGTCATTTACATGGTAATTTGTTACTCACATCACTTAGTAGTAGAGTGCTGGATGGATTCGGACTTGCTTTTCACGCAGGAAACCAGAACCTTCTGCTCGAAGGTTTAAGATCGTTTGAGCAATGGTTTATCATATTCTGTCGAACAGCAAGTATTTACACTAAAATTGCCAAACGGTTGAGAGGTATACTTAAAAAGTTTTCATTTCATCCTAAATCTAATTTATAGGATTTGAAATGATCTTAATCATCTAGGTCAACGACACTCTTACTTACTGATCTGCTTTTCTTTAAGCAGGGGCGGTGTTGATGACAATGATGCTGGTAGCAAAGAGTTTACAGATAATGATTGGAGAAGGATTGATTATGACATTGGGTATGAACAAGGCGCACCAGCTCCTATAGCCCCTGCGGCAGACCAACCCAACATGCTACATGCTGTTGTGGAAGTTTATATGCGACACAACGGTACAAAATTGGTATCAGCGAATGGAGAAAGCATTCTGGCGCTTACAGCCGAAGGCCTGAGGTGTGGTATTAAATTATATCCTGAAACCAAGGTCTTCAGTGTTGGACTAAATTCCTACAAGATAGCTGCTCCAGAAGGACTTCTTGGAGAGGTACCAGTACACCACAGTTCAATAAACAGCTTTCATGTATTTGATATGAAGGCGAAGTCTATGTAGGGGCAATATTTAACTACTTGTGGTATAGCAGTTATAGTCTTCTATACCATAAATTATATTAATTCAGATAACAAGTGGTTGTAACAGGAACTTAAGATATTGGAACTCTTTTATATTTGCTAACAAGTGCTTTGATTTACTTGTCCTGCGGCTGGATCCTAGAGTGCACATGAAGAGAACTCATTGTATGGTACTTTCATACTAAGTCCATGGGATAAGCAATTGGATTGGTCGTTGGAGGCTAAGGCTGCTCCCTGCTATGTGACTGTATGTGACCTCTCCTTTCTCACTCACAAGCATACACATAAACTTGAAGATTTGCTGTTTTTTCAGTCTGGAAATGATAATGCAGTTATCTGATTAGATGGTAATGAGTGGTATTGGTAACATTTGAACCAGTATTACCCGGAATGTTTCTTGCGTCTAGATTTTAGTGCCGGCTACTTATTTAATTATCATGTGCTGATTATTTACAGGTACGATTGCAAAGCTTACAAAGGATTTCTCAGTTCTTTTCGAGCAAAGAAGCTGTAAGCCGAGATGTTGCCCTTCAGACAGCTGCAGCGTTACAGGTTCGTAGTATTTCACACACTTAAGAGTGTTAAACAATTGGCTTATCTCAGAGATGATGATATTTGTACCTGAAAGTCGCTTCTTCTCTTCCCATCATTATATAGGTGCTTTCGTGCGATGTTCAATTTGACAGAATCTTGGTTTTGGAATCTTGTGGCCATGGTTAATTTAGGCGTTATTGAGATGTGCAGTCAACCGTGAATGAGGTTTCCAAAAATGCTCAGCAACAACTGCATGATGCTCTTAAAAACAAGCCCAAGTAAGAGAATTATTTCTGAGCAAGTAATGTAAGATTGAATCTTGTTTGGTAGTCAAAAAAGTGCTAACTGAAACATATAGACTGGCTATAGGTATAACATGGTACCTTGGTTAGGGATAAAATGGTGGGTTCAGATGTACATTTGTATGTGTGCTATAACCCATTTCTAATCTTTTCTCTTGGGAAAAACACCGTGTGTAGTGCAGTATATCTGCTAACAACATCTAACGTAAGCGTGTTCTAATATGTTATTGAGCGTGGCTTGACTTGCGGTGTTCATCTAGGTTTCTGTTGGACCTAGATATTGCTGCTCCCAAAGTCACCATACCCACTGATTTTTATCCTGATGGCCAGCACAAATGCAAAATGTTCCTCGACTTGGGTTATTTGAACATTAATACCTTACCAGTAAGTACCTGTGCATTGTTTGATCTTGGGTTCTAAACTGTGAGGCTGTGGACATCGTGTGATGCTTTGCTAGTTTCGTACTTTCTGTCATATCTTAGCCTTTGAGGTAGGTGTCATTGACTTGGAAAGCAGTTTTGTTACAAAATTAATTTACTTTACGATTGTTCATTTTTTCTTTCCTTTCTCCCACAAACAGACTTCTATGGCATGTTTTTGTAGTCCTGCAAGAAATCATGGTATTCCTGAATCGATTGCCGGCCAAACTTTTCGAATTTGATGTCTATTTTGAAAGAGAAGAAAGAACAAATGTCTTCATGTTTTTCGGAAGTACTCAATAGTACATGTGTTTTGTACCTAATCAATGATATCAGGGTACTTACCGTTTTGCCGAATGAGAATGCCTAAATTGTTTCTCGATGCAACGTGTTGTAGGAGAATGGCCCTATTGACGACTTAAGTGAAGAACATCAATTATACATGCGGTTCCGTATTCGCCTAAAGGACATTTCAGCTTTTTTAGTAGATGGTGATTATGATTGGCGAAAGCAGTATAATGTGAACCCTGAGACTGGCAGACTTCATGTTGTAAATGATCATGTGCTTTATCAGCCTGATAGTGTAGAAAGTCTAAAGAACCGTGGAGATAAAGACACTGGCGCTTCTGAAGGGAAACGAGATGATGATGGAGGTTTATTCTTCTTGCCTATGCTGGAGAAAACTGGAATAACAGTTGCGCTTGAACAGGTAACTCCCATAAATATTTGCTGGACATGGACTCTGTTTGCAATCGATTGTGTTTTATTTTTAGTTGTAGTTTAGATCTCATTTTACAGCCCAGTAGTTGTGATGTTCAAGTGAAGACACCGCTGTCATAGGATTTGGGTTGCCGGAGTTAATAAGGGAAGAAATTAAGTGTTGGATTATTGTTGTAAAACGTAGCTCCTGATTTTTTTCTCCATTCAATGAAGGATTTGGTATGTCAATTTTTAGCTTTCAAGTATAGTGGTATTCAGCACACCCACACATACAAACATAGTACATGCATTGATTCCTCTAACTGTTGTGACGCAGATTTGTGTGCCACACCCAAATTACCCTACGACTAGAGTGGCAGTAAGGTTGCAGTCCCTCGGATTCCAATTCTCTCCTGCACGATACCATCGGATCATGCAAGTTTTTGGGATTTTCGGTGATGAATCTAATGAAGAGGATACCCGTTCTGCTTTTCGACCATGGGACTCTCCAGATTTTAATGGACAGATGTCAGTTCTCTCCTGGACGGTGTGCTTACTCATTGCAAACCCTCCATTGTTGATACTCTATCATAAGAGCTACTTCACAAATTTAACTTTAATTGAAGCACATGTTTAGGGTTAATACTTCATGATGCGATTGGTTTATTTGCGAAGTTTAGTTAGCACTTTCGGCAAATTACGATAGCCAGTGTGCTTTGTTTTGTTTTGTTTTGAGTTGTTTTTTAGTTTTTCTTTCTTTCTTTCTTTCTTTCTGAAAATGTGGCTTTCTTATAAAACAACAGTATTTGTCCTGCTTGTAATAGATTTTGAATTTTTTGCAACATTACCTGGTGTTATTGTCAGTGTTACTGTATTATTTTGTTCGACGTCAAGATTTAGTGAATTATCGACTACTAAGCTCTTGAATGGAAACCTGGCTATCAGTTTCCAAGGGAAGGCTCTTGATGAAACTTTGTGCTAGGACCTCTCCAGTTGAACAGTGTGTTGCCTGGAATAAAAATGAACCTTGGTTCAAAGTTTCCATCTTATGTTTTTTTCCTGTTGTTTTATGTAGACATTAAAAGAGAAACGGACCGACTTTGTAGTGCTATTATCTTAATCTAATATGCGCATAACATGCCGTACGCTTTCGTTTCCAAGATTTTGCAGAATTACCATCCTGCAAGCTTGAAGATGTTGCTAGGTCCATGAGTATCACATTCTCTGTCATGATGGCTGTCGTGTATGTTGATTCACTCTTCTGCTATTCGTGCAGGGGGTGGGTCACAGAGAAGCTAAATGGGAGAGCCGTTATGGTGCATTGGCGGGGCCTTTTTTTTATCTATTGGAATCCGAATCATCACGCAGCTATAAAACGTTTCATTCGTATGCCAATTTTCACTACCTAGACATGATTGTGCATGATCTTCGATCTTTTCTTCATCCTTTTATATTTTAGGGACCTGCAGTCAACGGCTAGCTACTTCGTTTGTTTTGGGCTTTATGATGTGCAATTTTCTTTTTGTCCCATATGAACTAAACGTTTTGTTATCTGATTAGTTTGATAGGTAAAAAGGTCTTTAACCTTCCAAAAGAATCTTTGGGAGGTGTGGAGAACGTCATCGCTATATGTGATGCTGGGCAAATTGTTAGCAAGGTAATTTCCTTTTCACTTTTTGGGAATTGAAATGGATTTATCTTCACAGTAACAACTCATTTCAGTATACTAGATGTAAATTGCTTTCAACATATACCATAATAAATTCCTGGTTTGCTTTAATTCCAAGTACAGGTGGCAGAATCTGCTGGAGCGCTTCTTCTGCGTTTTGTGGACGAATATGCAAGAAATAAGTGGCAAGAGCGTTTCTCACGAGCAATATATCGGGCATCTGTAAGTGAAAATTCTGGATTGCAATCCTTACTTTATAATTACTTGAAATCTTAATTCTTTCTTGACTTTGAAAGTTCTTCGTGCTATTGCTTTAGTATTGCTTGAAAACTTATTCATGTGCTTTTAGATCCGCATTTTTTGACTTAGAATTCGAATTTTGTTCGATGGCATCTGCTCTTGTGGATTGTGCATCTTGGGAGCAAATAGAAGTTCTGACTATCTCGTGCGTTACAACGGGAATTCAGAGTCCTGTAGCAGTTGCAGGATGTCTGGGTGGAAGGGCTCAGAATGATGATACGGAGGAAAATATTCCTGTGTCTCCAGATACAGGCCAAACAAAGCTAACTGAGCAAGAAACCATCTTCTTCACTGGTGTTCTTGATGAGTTGAAAATTGTCATGAGCAACAGTCGTGATGTAAGCTGCCTTGCTAGAATATCAAAATGCTTGACTGTGACACATATCCGTGCGCTAGAATTTTCGTGCTCATAATTTCACTTACTGGTCTATCTGGTATGAATTTGAATCTGATACCGAGATGCTGGTTTATTTGAAAGAAACATTGTAAATTTACACTATTGATTCTGATTATCTACATCCAATTACAGTATGTGACCATTATTTGCATGTGTATGTAAATGTAAACACTCGAGCAAATGGATTCGTAAGTCATGATGACTTGCCTTGTGCAGATTGAGCTCACGTCACAAAAGATGTTGCTTGCACCTGAGAAACCCCTCTTGGAATTCCGTGCCATTGGGACTAAGGTAACATGTGAATTTTACATTCTGATCTTAAAAATGTTTTCCGGTAATCAGCCACTAAGCTTTGGATTTTTTCACTGATTTTTACTCGGCTTGATCTGCATAGCAGACATTTGCGCATAAATCGTGTATTTGTACTAGGTGTCAACATGGTAGTTGATGTGTTGATTTGTGACGAATTTACTGTGATGTATTATTGTCATGGCAAGTGTGTCGTGTACTTAGAGACGTTTAGATATCTGTCTGCAGTATGCATCTCTTTGAGCAGTCGCATCATTGCTGCATTGTTTTCTCAATCTGAAGTTGCACACGTATTTATGCTGAGCATCGCACCACTATCTATTAAGTAGGCACTTGTTCTGCAGGTTCAACTTGTTGTGAGCAAGAACCAGATGTTGGTTGGAGCTGTCTTACAATCCCTAGAAATAGAAGATAAGTTCCATGGTCATGTTTCATATTCTTGCCGATATCTAGCGCGATCATACATCAAGAAAAAACGCAAAGAACAACATCATGAAAGCAGCAGGCCCACATCACCTCACGAACACACTCACCTGGAAAATCTGGAAGATCAGAAATTGAAGGATAAAAGAAGCGAAGTATTAATAAATAGATCTGGTAACAACTCTAGGAATCCCGGTATGTCTAAGCCAATGCTTAGTCGCTACAATTCTTCAGGAGATGAGCATTTCTTTGACGCTTACGACGAAAGTGATTATGAAAGCAGCTCAAGTACATTTAGTTTACATACACGGGACAGTAGTTCTGATCTTGCGGTTAAGTTCTATGACGCAATTGATGGTGAAGCTGACAATCATGAGCCTCCAAGTTTCAAGAGAGAAGTAGGCCTCTTGCCGGGGTCTGCTTCACCAGACCGGAGCAAAAGTGATCATGATGTAACTGATATCGAGGACCGAGAGAGCTTCGTGAAGGCCCAAGTTATCATGACTTCACCAGAGTCCCGTACATATGCCTCTATTGACAATGAGGTTAGAATTCAATTTTTCAATGCTTTGTTGTAGACCTACTTTAATTGTGTGCTTTTAGGCATAAGTTGAACGTGTAAATCGTATATTTCTCATTACAGAGTTCATTGTGTGATATTGCATCTCCTTACATCTCTATATTATGAGGTGTTCTTTTTTCACAATCATATGGTAGTTGTTTTTCTATGTGAGCATTCATAAAAATATGTTTGACATAATAGGTGCGAATATCACTTTCAGCACTGTCATTTAACTGCAATCGGCCAACAATCATTGCTGCTTTAGATCTGGTGTCTGCCCTCACTGCTGAGTTCCAGCCTAAGAAAAACGAAGAGTCGCCCTTCACTGTTGGAGATAGGAAAGTAGATGCACCACGGTCTCGAAACAAGGAAATCAAAAGTGCCCCTGGTCCATTAGATATCGACAATAAAGATAAGAATGAGGTTAACCAAGACGCCGATAGGAACAAGGTTATTTATCAGGAAGAGTCCCAGTCCATGCCTGTAAATGCAGATGTGATTGTTACCGCAATCGATCCAAAATTTGTGGAAGATGTAGATGAGACGGGCAATGTCAAGCTGCCTCCAAAAGAAGAAGAATCAGTTGTCAAAGGGCTGCTAGGTAAAGGGAAAAATAGGATGGTCCTTTTGTTGGTATTAGATATGGAGCATGCTGAAGTTGTCCTGAACAAGGAAGATGGCTCACAATTATCAACTCTCTCCCAAGACAATTTTCACACGGACGTGAAGGTAATAATGGCTCTTCATAACGTTTTCCATCAAAATAATTGTTGAAAGTCTTTACTGCTTTTCTGTACTTTTATTTTCACCTAATGATCTAATATTGTTGGAGGAATATCTCTCGGATTGATTGAAAAACTCGCCTTCAATTACTTCGTTCCTTTGCTCTTGTGATAGTTGAATATTGTGAAGGATGTTTATGTGGAATTGTTCTAATTGATGATCTGAAGGAATTTGTGCATCTGACTAGATTTATCCAGAATCATGGGGAGTGAATGCCGTTCTGGGTAATCTTCGTGTAACTGACGATAATGCGACGGACCATCACGGTAGAGACATTCCTTACCAGTACATTTGTGATATGAGGGATCCAGGCGGTTCATCTTTCATTGAGGTTGAGCTTTCATTATCTGAAGCTCATTTTTCGAATTCCTTGTTATTTTTGCATGACTCAACTCACTTGAACTGTTGAAAAAGTAAAAGGTTTGTTGGCGAAGGTTTTTGTCCTTCTCTGCCAGTGTATTGTAAGAATGCTCTCCTATAATTCCTCATTCTAAAAGTCCTCTTCACTTTCTAAGTTACTGCCAAGACCTAGGTGAACTTCATGACAGCTATTCACCGTGTTAAGAAGTAATTATAAATAAGAATTTTGCGTGAAACACTTAATTGGACTTATCCAAGTCTGTTTTCTGTTGACTTAAAAATGCCTCCCTGTATTATATGAGAATTCTTTTTATTTTTTTGTGAGTATTGATTTCTTTACACACACAAGAGAGGCTTGAAACATTTTTGATGAGACCATGGTTCTGGTTATTGTACCTTGAATATTAATCGTCAAATTCATGTTGATATTCGCACATGCAGTTGGAATTTGTGTCGTTCAATGAAGACGACCTTGATTATGAGGGTTATGATTTTAGTGTTACTGGAAAACTTTCAGAAGTGAGACTGGTGTTCCTCAACCGTTTCATTCAGGAGGTGTGTTCAGTTACTTGTTCCTAAGGAATGCCATTTAAATGTCAAGGTTCTCGCAATGTGATGGGTATTAGCGCCTCGTATTGTCAAGTTCATTGTAAATCTTTTTGGTCTCTTGTAATTGAAAGATGAAAAACTTTGTACATCTGCTTTATTGTTATGATTGTTAAAGCTTTTGTGCAGATCATTGCTTATTTCATGGGTCTTGTTCCTCAAACTTCGGGCTATGTGATGAAGCTAAAAGATCGCGCCTCAGATTACGAGAAACTTTTTTCTCAGTCAGAGATAGAGGGACAACCATCACTGAAGTTAGATATTTCTCTCTCGAAGCCTATCATCATAATGCCACGAGGAACTTACAGTACTGAGTGAGTCCTATCTGTTCTCTGCCATTTTAGATGATGTCCGTGCATCTGGGCTGAGTTCTTTATTTTGTTGTGTTAATCCTCCTTATCCTCCGGTGAATCGACCACGTATGAATCTTTTCCAAATTTTTGCCATGTAATCAGTTTCATGGAGCTTGATATTCTACATATCAACATTCGTAGCAGCTCTGAATGGACTGGTGGTGGGAAGGAGCAACTCGGAGCAATTCACTTGGAAACAATCAAGCTTGATGTAATTTTCTTATGTGACGCAGTGACTTGTTAAAATGGTTTCTTTCAATGTGCGACATGCTAACCAGTTGTTTAAATTGGAATCATGTGATGATAACTTGGATATGAACGCCATGACGTAGGGTGTATACACTACGATAATTTGTTTCGAGCTTGATTCTGCAGATTGAAGATGTCAGCCTAAACATTGGAGTTGGAAATGTTATTGGGAATGAGATTTTTGATCGAGCGAGAGGCATCGGTTTGGTAGTAAGACGACCCTTACGTGACCTTTGGCATGAGGTGCCAAGTATCGAAGGAACAGTCAAGGTGATCTGTTTCAGATCATCTCTCTCTTCCTACCTTTCTTTGTGCAGCTTTCTAAGCATAAAAAACTACACTAACAATGTGTAACTGTGCTGAAGTTATTAGAAAATATCTCATTTTTTCTGTTCGTCGTCATCTTTTCCGTATGGCAATTTCATCAATAATACAGAATTTATCTGAAAGTTGTTACTTCTTTTCTTTTATCTAAACACTTCTTATTCGCAGATTGAAGAGCTTCGAGCATCACTCTCTGACAAGGAGTACCAGGTGATAACTGAGTGTGTAACACAGAATATGGCCGAAGTACCAGATTTACCTCCTACTCTGTATGAAAATGAATCCTTGGAGGGTGGAGCTCCAGAGTTAGCAGGAGAAGATGCTAATGGGGCAGATGTTGTCACTGAGGATTTAGAATCAGAGGACAATGAAGGTCACGGAAGGAGGAGCTCGCCAATTGAGAAACCGTACACAACTATCAAAGTTGGTGTGGGGATTGATCTGGTTGAGCTCCGTTTATTTATTGGCGGCGCTAGAGATGCATCTCTCGCAACTGTCCAGGTTAGATGTGAAAGGAGACCGTAGTAAAAAAAATAGCGTTTGCCTATGGTTTTTATTTCAATGTGTGATTTGATATGGGCATTAAGACGAACGTTGTGTTGTTTATATGTTTGGCCATTTGGTTCATCAGCTGAAATGTCATGTGGAACTTGTAGGTAATTGGCGCATGGGTTTCATACAAAGGAAATAACGTTGAAGAATCAGTTTTCATGGCATCTCTGGAAAGGCTTAGTCTCAAAGATGAACGTGAAGGAACCGATCCGGAAATGCAGTATATGATTGGGCATGCCGATGATCAGGCACCAAGCTCTTTAGGGGATGACCTTCATCACTTTCGAAGAAACAGGGAAAACAAAACTGAAGATGAGACTGCAGCTGGATCCTCCAACACATCGCCTGGGTGGGGGTACGACCTTTTCATATTGTGTCTTCGTAGTAAACGACTTCCAAACGTATTTGTTCGTCTGTTGAAAGTTTCCTTTGCATTCTTGTTCATTGTTTTTAATCCAATATGTACTTCTACGTGCATTAGAGTTTGAATTTGCAACATTGAATTTGTATCTTCTTAATAGATCCCCAATACTGTTACTAGGCAGATTTTGAATAACAGCAGAAATTCTTCGACGTATGTAACTGGGTTGTATACTTCTACTGCTTATTCTATCGTAAACCCAGAAGTTGCCATATCAATCCACTTTCTTGCTCATCTGCCTTAGTCTAGATAAAAAGAAAGTCAAATGTCTTTGTTTCTGTATCTTGAAATACGAGGAGTAATGTCGTCGATTAATGACACAGGCTAAGGTTTGTTTGCTGCGGTTCCTGATTTATATGTGAGGAACCTTTCTTGCATGATCACACAACATTATGGTTTTTTTAACTGCTCATTATAATTGCTTGCTTTTGTGTGTACATTCAAATGTATTGATGTAGCACATTTCTTGAGTAAATTTATATATTTGTGTTAGTCTGATATCTTATAACCAATGAATTTGCTCTTTGTAGATCTGGTTTGACGATGCTTGTAGTCGATGCGAAATTATGTCCAACAAAACAAGAAATTTTTCTTCGCATTCAGCGTCCTCGGGTAGTGGTTGCCTTTGATTTCCTGTTGGCGGTTGGCGAGTTCTTCGTCCCATCAATGCACACGATGCTGGCCGAGAAGGGAGAAGAGGATCCTCTGGACATGAAGAATGGGATTTTCCTGAATGATCATGTATTTAAGCAGAAAGTGCGGGAAGTTCGAATTTCACCGAAGAAGCCTTTAGTTGCTGATTACGAAGGTATTCAAGAATATACCTACGATGGCCAAGGAAATACACTACGATTATTGAACCGACACGATGAAGATCTAGCTATGGTTTCTCCAGAGACGTTAATCTTTGTCGGTGATGGAAAAAGATTAGTATTTAGGAATGTGATCGTTCAGGTATGTTCTTTCTTTTTCGTAAAAACTCTTTTGCAACATGTATTGCTGTATTCTGGTTGCGCTTTGAGCCTCAGCACCTTTTTCTAAGTACTGGTTCTGTCTTAAGGAAAGATGATGGTGGTGTGGAATAGGAACATCGAGGTTAAGAAATTTGAAGACAAGCTATTCATTCTAAACATATTATTTGTGGCAGAATGGCGTCTGCTTGGATTCATCGCTTTATCTAGGCAGCAACAGTAGTTATTCAGCATCTCGGAATGATGGAGTATTTTTGGAAGGACCTCCCGAGGAGTTCGATTCATCCAGCATTGGGTCATCCCATTTAGCGGATAGAAAGGACATAGAAGAGGTTAACAAACTACCTGTGGAGATTGTTTTTGACTTACAGGTATTTCTTGCCAAGGACATTCTACGTTATCACGCTTTTCTTGCTCTTGCCTTTCTAAGAAGATACTTTGCAGTAGCCTGAAATTGAACCATTATTGATGGAGTTTGTTTAACTCAATAAGAAAGGCAATATATATCTAGCTAATCTAAATTCAATGTTGTTATCCATAAAATCATTCCCATGTTATCGATCGACCCATGGGTTCTGAGGTCTTACTTATAGATGATAATTGCTGCTACCTTGGGGATATAGATAGGTGCCCAGCTTGAGTAAAGCCTATGTTCTTTTACAAAGGTCTGCTTCTAGTTGACATGCATAATATTAAGCAGGAATAATCGTTAGATGATATGCTTCATAGTTTTGATATAACCATTTAAATATATGTTCCTCACGATATTAAACTACAGTTTAGGTGATTTTCTCTGCCTACTATTAATAAAATATTCTGGATATGTGTCAGGCTATTGGTCCGGAGCTCACTCTTTATGATAGTACTAATCGATCATCTGAAGTTCCGGTTCTTTCGGAGAGCTACCTTCGTGCCACGATGAATGTTTTTGCCAGGTAATGTGCATGCAGCCGATTAAATAAGATTTAACAGATCGTTAAGCTGCAATTAATGTTCACCATGCCTGGTCCATTGACCTACTTTTTCAAGCATAAGCATGTAATTCTCAGCGGTTTAATCCAACGCGTTAATGAAGCTCCCCACTTTTGGTGGTAAACACATCCGTGCATTTGGATGTTTCTGTATGGAATTACGTTTGGACTACTTATGGGGTGGTGGTCGTTACGCTGGTAGTCTGTGTTTCAGTTTTCTTAGTATTTAAAAGCCAAAAACTTTGTTAGCCATTTGTTTGTTACATAACTGTGGTGAAGTCGTACTCAGTTTTTTCTTGGTCATGCTTTATTTTTTTCTACTGTGTCTGATGTGAGGATCTTTGGAGTATAATTGCATTGCAGTAAATTTTTTTCATTTGGTCATTGTAGATTTTCAACGAAGGGAGATGATATGGAGCTTTCAGCAAACGTGAATGGTTTCACAGTGGAGTCAACAAGTGGCGTTAGGGTCTTGGAGCCTTTTGATGCTCAAGTGGCTTATTCCTTGATGACTGGGACTCAAAACATCCGTCTTGGCACGACAGATATCAATACGAACTTCTCCTTCAGCATTCTGCAGCTCATTTTACTCCTGCAGGATGATTTCATGTCGATCATGCGTATCACATCTGAACAGGTTACGATACAATGCTCAGAGTTCGAGAAAATATGGGTACATGATGGTAAGACTAACTCCCTATTGTGTACCTTATTAACAGTAACCATGTGAACTTATGCACCTTGGTGACAAGTTGTTGGTGGACCACATAATGAATTATCACTCTTTTGCATATTATTTTTTGATAAAGCAGAGTGCAAGTTCTGATTTTATTTTTTATATGATGGTTGTATATAAGATACATATCTTAATATACGAGATTTGTGTGTCGTAGACTCTGAAATCGCAGCGGGTGGATTACACCTAGCTTTCTGGCACCCTCGACCACCACCTGGATTTGCAGTGCTTGGTGATTGTGTAACACCTATGTAAGTCTATCATTTAAAGTTTATACATATTTATTTTGAATTCATTTGTGGATCCTATGCACTTCCTATGAGCAAAATAATTGCAATGAATACAACTTGTTTTTGTGGTGTAGGAATAAACCTCCAGCAAAGGCCGTACTGACAGTGAATATGGCTCTAGTACACGGGAAGAGACCTTTGGGATTCAAACGTGTATGGTCATCAATCGAATTTGCACACGAAGTTTCCCAGAAGACTCCCATAGGTGGGAGAGCCATACATTTAAATGATAGTAGTAAAGTAGAAATGGGCAATCCTATGCTTTGCATACCTGATGCTGAAGTGCGAGGGGAACAAGGCTGTTGTATCTGGTTGCCAATTCCACCAGAAGGCTATGTTGCTCTAGGTTGTGTGGTTTGGAAAGGACAGGACGAACCCCCTAAATCAGCAGCCCTGTGCATTTTAGCTGCACTTACATCCCCATGTTCAATGCGAGATTGCATCAATGTTCTGGGAAGTCGTGAGTAAGTTTCATTTCTTCTAGTAATGGAGGAACCCTCAACATGTCCGTATTAGTTAGACATGGTTTGCGATATTTTTTAATTTGGTTAATATTTGCAAAGGTAAATCCTTTTGATTGAACATCTTGAGCTCTTTGTATCATGTTCCTGTTGTTGAATTGCCTGGATTTGATACTATGCTGCTTTTTCCATTTTTTAAGGTGCCACCATTTATGATTCCAGATCTTTTCTTTTCTTTTCTGATATCCTCATTTTATGTCATATTACAGGACTTCTGGTTCAGGTGCACAAGAGCAATGGGCATTTTGGCGGGCAGATAGCTCAATTGGCACTTTCTTCTTGCAAAATGATCGAAAAGAATCGATTCAACCCCAGGCTTATGACCTTCGCCTTTCTACCTCAAATTATGAATTTACTACCCTGCAAGAGACAGCTCCAAGCTCGGCTAAACCACAAATGAGACTACCTCATACATTGTCATCCATCGGTAAGACATTGAATCAAACAATTATGTGTGCTGTGCTGCAAAACCACATCACATCCCAAGAACTTTTCTCATGCTTTTACTTTCCCTTGTGAATTTGTCTGTTGAGGTTAGAATCCTTCGTAAATCGATCTCTCAAGGGACAGTCTAACTAAATTTGTTATACCAACCGCGGAGGGTCTCATATAAAGTGGAAATTGTTAATGTGTAACGATCGTTGGTTGGTGTACTGTCCCTCAGGCGTCTAGAGTGCGTTGGGTTGTCGACATACTTTGACTTTGGATCCGTAATGTCTTTTCAGGCGAAGAGGCAGCGGACACCGCCGGGATATTAACAGCAGTGATCTCATCGGGTAGGATATTCGAGAATGTGGGAACGTTCAAATTAATATGGTGGGACAAGGGTAGTGGATCTACTGATGGTATCTCCATATGGCGACCAAATGTGCCATCCGGGTGTGCCATGCTGGGAGACCTGGCCGTGAAAGGGTAATTTTCTAATCACTGGTATCATGTAAGTTATGTTATGTATCGTTTCAGAACATCCTTCAGCTGCTGAGAGCTGAATTGTTTTTTTATTCTATATGTTGTATGCAGATATGATCCACCAGTCACTGGTCTTGTTCTCCGTGACACAGAAGAAGGGGGACTTTTTAGCAAACCGGAACGTTTCCAAGAACTGGCTCGCATCTCCAAACAAAGGCATGTGAACGGTGTTTACTTCTGGAATCCGGTTCCTCCTCCAGGATATTCCGCAATTGGATGCATAGCTGGCAAGAGCTCCCGCCCTGATAAAGATGTCATGAGGAGCATCCGTTGTGTGCGGAATGACCTTGTCAGTCATGCTAATTTTTCAGAATCCAGTCCCTGGTCCACAAAGTATTTGAAGTCGGGACAACAACCAATGAGTATTTGGCTCGTAGAGAATGAAGTAAGTGTGCACGAAGCACTTTTCATCTAGTTAATCTTGGTTCAGTAGTGGCTTTAATTGCTACACTTCAAAAGTCATGTACGCATTCTGAATCCACGCTCAATATTTTAGCTGCATTTTTTGTTTAGGTAATATAACATTTTTAAGCTGATCGTATCAGAAATTTATAATGTGAATTTGTTGCAGGCACAGACTTTTTTAGTTAAGCCTGGAAGCTACGGTAGCCCTTCTCCACAAGGTGCACTTGGGTTGATAGCTTTGCGAAGGCAAGCAGAGCCTGACAACTTGGCTGTAACTGTGGAAATCAAGAGCGTCTCTGCTAAATTTTACGATGACTTTGGCGGATTCGTACGTTCAAATCTTCATTATTCTGACAGCATAATGTTTCAGTGGTGACATAGAAAACATATTCTGTGTTATCCGTCGGCGCAAAATTTTGATTTCAAATTCATCACTTCGTTACTGATAAATTTATAATGAATGCCTATTTTGGTCTACTATATAGAACTAAAACTGCTTTTTTCTTTTTTCTGTTCTCTTCTTTTATAAAATAAAATTACAGATCCTTTAACGTGCTCTCTAACACTGCCACTTGCGTCTGTCATGCCTTTGTTGGTCTGAATTCAGATGACACCGCTACTTGACGTGTCAATTACCAGTTTACTAACAAGCTTGCACGGTCGCATGGAGGCATTTTGCTCAGAAGTCATTTTTTCATTGACAGTCACTACGTACAACACTAAGTTTGATCTTTGGGAGCCTCTCATTGAAACTTGTGATGCGATTGTCAGGTTTGTGTTTGCATGCATGTGTTAAATATCTTACTAATTATTGTTTCAACTGTGAATATTGTTGCAGTTTGAATTTCAGATGCTCCATCACTTGACACAATTCTAGGAGCTCAGGCATAGCAATGTAATGTATGTAGTAAAAGCTCACGAAGCTGATTAGTCCAACTTCAAAAAATAGACCGATAATTGAATGGACTTTTTGTGTTGGATGGTCCAGATATAAACAGGACAGCGACCCGCAAGCTCGAGATCAACCCAAAATTTCAAGAGTTCGTATCGAAATTCCAAGAGCTCGACCTGAAATTTCTACTGACTTCAATGTAAATATTTCTGTCGCAAATGCAAACATGTTGTTGGAAGCTTATTCCAGTTGGATGCACCTGAGCAATTCTGAAGCGTGGGCGAAAAAACGAGAAATTCAGGTCATTCTTCAAATCACTTTAATCTGAGGAAGGCAAATTATGTGTTGTCCTTTTTATCTGCTTGTGTCTGTTGGTTCATTACGGAATATTCTGTTTTGAGGCATTTTATGGTTCGCGAATGTCGATTCGTATTTTTGTTGGAAGCTATCTTTGAAATATGGGAACAAATCCTTGTTTGCAGCAGGATGTTTGTTTTTAACTCTCATCTGTTCAATAAGCTGATAATTCCTGACATTTTGCAGGATGATATTGCAAAATCGCAGAATTCGAGTCGAAGATTTTTTAAATTAATTAGTGATGGACCTTTGGACCGTAAAGGCAATAAGAGTTCTTATATATTGGCACACAACGAGATAGGAGAGCAACTCTGGCTGAGGACTGTCGAGAGAAGTGGCAAATATCAAGTTTTGTCTTTACCTCCGAATGGGACCTCCATCGTTAAGTTGCCAGATACTTACTCCAGTAAAGACTCTATCGATAGGGAATTGGTGCGCGGACTCTCTGGAAAATTCGTGGCAATCAGGATCAGTGATGCTGAGGTGAAAATTCCTGTTGCACTGATTCCTTGATCAACTACTTACTATGAAGTTCAATAATTGCATTCTTGAGTATCTCGTATCCAAAACAGTCCATCAAACACTTATAGTTGTCCCAAATGTTAGCTGCAAAGTAAATCGATGACGTAATTCAGTTGCCAATAGCAGAGTTGTGCATTTTATTCTGATTAGTACTTGGTCACAGTTACCGCATGCTCAAGGTATTGGAGGAAGGGAATACATGGCAGCGATCCGTGTAGTGCCCGTAAATTTAGCATCCAATAACAGGCGGCTGCAGTTTCAGAGTGCTCGAACTAGGTGTGTGAATCCTAGTGCGAAGAGCAGCACTGACCAAGTGCGCGTCATTTGGGATGAAGTTTTTGTATTCGAAGTCCAATCAGGGGTATGTGTGCTGCACGTACTCTTCAGCCTCCAATCTGGGATAGTAGTGTAGATCATTTGAGGAGTTGAAGCCCTACGTACATAATGCACCTTTGATTTTATACTTTTATCTCTATATCTTTCTTCTAAAGACTAACCATATAGGCCACTTTCCTCATTCAGAGCGTTTATTACCCATTGAAAGTCTCTTTTCAATCATGGTGATGTATCTGCACTTAAAGTTGAAGTGAATTCGTTACGCAGGAAGTAAATCGTGCCCAGATTGTCGTTACTGACCTCGCCAGAGGTACGTCTATAATGGATATTTTTTTATCTGTCCGTTTGTGCGATCTGTTGTTTGAAAATTATGGGGGTGCTAACGAACTTGGACATTGTTACAATTGTTCAGCATAGCTAGTGTATTCCTATGCTAGTAGTTATATCATACATCTCACTTGCAGGATCACCTATTGGATATTGCTCGTTGGAGCTTAGTGAAAAAGGAACTTACGGAGTGAAAAAGATTAAGAGTGACTTTGCTTGTTTGTCCTCATTCCCGCTAAGATCTGAAACTTTGTATCCGCCTGAAAGAGATCAGGTAAATTCAGAACCTGTAGAAGTACATTCAATATTCTTCTGATATTTTAGAGGTATTAGTGTTGAAGTTATATTCGAGTGCTCTACCTTTTTTCTGTTTGCTGTGTTTGTTATTGAGATTTAAGCTCTGCACATAATGTGCAAATGCTTCAAGCTTGCAACCCCTGCTACTGAAATAATGAGGAGTATCTACTATTGTAGGGATAACTGTCAGGAAATTCTTATTTCCACCATTATAAGAATGGTTCATTTCAGAAGTGGCCGTTCTTCCGGATTCCGGACATTTCTGATTGATTTGTGATTTGACATGCAAACTGCAGGAGGAGGCTGGTTTGCTGGGTGAAGATGGTGAATCTCTTGTTGAAAAAGAACATCAAGGGCGCATTAATTTGGCAATTCATATATTTTCCGCGTATAGAGACGAAGGCGATATTGAAGACTCTGAGGATACTGACTCTCTGCAAGACGAAAACTTGCAGATGTTCGGCACAATAGAAGTTTCTGCTACTAAAAATGGACCCTGGTCTTCTCTAAGACTAAATTATGGACTTGGTCCAGCACCCTGGCACTTAGGGAAGGACCATTTTGCTAGTGAAATGGTTGTCAATGATGGAGTGAAGCATCTTTTTGTTAGAAGTCTAGTGACAATTAGGAATGAAACAAAATATCAACTTGAAGCTCGTCTATGCCCGGATTTTCTTGTGGATCAAGAAACGGATGCGAACATTTTGGACGCCAACAATTCTGAGAGTTCTCTTGAGGAAGAACTCTTTGAAAATCAGAGAATTCAGCCAGGGAAAGGATGGGGTCCTCCGACGATGCCCGCATACCCAGGCCAGTGGTGCACACGCGACCTTTCTAGATCCTTTAAGGTAAACGTCTGGCCAAGAACTTTGCTCTTTTGTCCACCGTTTCTTTTCCATATTTTACATCTAAATTTCCTATTACCAGCCTTTGCGAGGTAGACAATTAAATCAATACCTTAAGAATATCATCCAGTCATGCGTAGAAGTGTGTATTCGGCCTCTAACATGCTTATCACATCAAAAGCTTTGTCTAAATTAGTCTTACCAATAGACCACCTCATATTGATGTGTATTGTACGCAGTGTAGTAGTCAATTCTACACGCACTGAATCTTTCACCTTTTCAAAAATAGTGTTCCTTTTTTTCTTTTTTCTTTTTTCTTTTTTCTTTCTTCTTCTTTTCTTTTTCTTTTTCTTTCTTTCTTCTTCTTCTTTTCTTTTTTTTTTCTTTTTTTTTTTCTTTTTTTTTTTTTTATTTTTTTTTTTTTTTTGGTGTGGTTTTTTTTGAGTGAGCTAGAACGACCTGGCAGTACTATGGGCTCAGCCTGTAACATGTGATGTGCAGGATTTAACTCAACTCTCACTTCCGGATGGTTGGGTTTGGATATCCGATTGGCGACTTGACAGAACTGGTAAGGTTGACCACGATGGATGGGGATATGCGAGTGATTTTCACGCGTTCAAGGGTTGGCCACCAATTGGTAATTTTGAAAAAGGCACCATGTTAGTGAGACGCCGCAGGTGGATTCGTACAAAGCTACGGAAGGATGGTACCAAGAATATGGTGATCTCGCTTGGCACCTTAGAGCCTCACTGTTCTGTGGCCTGCCCTATTGGAAGTCTACGACCAGGCGGATCAGATTATGTTGTTCAGGTAGGATTCTACTAGCTGGATATATATTTGCTTATGGCATCTTGTTATTGAATTGTTCCGAGACTCACCCTTACGCTGTCGTCCTGTCTCGCTGCAGGTGAAACCTCGAGTTGGATCAGTAAACAATGGCGTGGCGTATAATTGGAGTTCAGTTACATCATATAAAGATAAACTTGAGCTGAGTATAGCCAGGAAACCTACAAAAGAGCTCCGTATACGTGGGCTTCAAAACACTGAGGAACTTTTACACTGCTCAGTTTTAGCGAGCAGCAGCAGCATGGATAAGACAGATGTTTGGCTTTGTGTTGAGTGTAAAGCAATTGAGGTGGGAAAAACCAGTCAACTGGATCCTATTGAGGATTGGCGTTTAATCATCTCCGCTCCGTTAGAGCTTGTCAACTTCCTACCCGTAGCATGCTCGTATACGGTTTCAGAAAAGTACAATGGAAAGGGACTTGTGCCAATACAAAGTGGATCGGTTAAGCCTGGGGAATCGGAGGCTATTTTTCATGCTGACTTGCGTAATTCTCTTTATCTGAAGTGGATACCAGAGGGTAGCTGGGTGCCTAAGGAAGTAAGAATTCGCATGTCATGCTATTTAAATCTTTTGACAAATTGACTGTATGTACGTAGTATTTCTCTGCCGATGTTTCTCGTCTTTTCTTTAAAGTCGTCAAATCTTACATCTTTGGTTGGTAATGGACGTTTAAGTTTCCTAAATTGGTTACCCTTCCTAAATGCCATGCTGGATCTGTGCATGCGTGTTGTGTAGGACGACGTATTAATCTCACAGCCAGGAAAAGATCCAGCGAAGAGAGTATTTGTGACAGATGGAGGGAGGTAAATCTTCTGGTTGAAGATTGAATTGCTCTCTGTGAACGAGTTATTGTTTTGTTGGGCCAAGCATGCTTCATTTTAATGAACTTTTGCAGTACCTTTTATGGATGAGTTGGCCCTTACTAAAAGCTTGGAAAGTGTTTTGGTTATGGTTGCTGCAGGGATTTAGCTATTCATATGCAATACGACAGTGGGATCAGGGATATATCTGCAAAAGTTATTCAATTTCATGTTCCATGCTGGCTAGATAGTATTGGTTGTCCTTCTCTGAAATACAGCCTAGTTGGAAACCATTATCACGGGCGAAGGTCGAGCGAGAAAAGTTGGCTTACCAGGAAGTCCTTGGAGGAGATTGTTGAAGAGGATACGCACCGACATCCAATTATGCTTTCCAACTATGATTGCACGACTATGGGACTAGCAGTAGCTCTGTCTGGATCTGAATGCACTCAGTTTGGCCCTGTTGCATCCTTGGACGCTCTAGCCGATCCTGTAAATTTTCACTTCTCCATTTTTTGAAAGATTGGATCAGATTGCTTTGATTGGAAATATTTAATAAGGGTCATGACATTTGGAAACTGGCCCTAATGAAATCAACTCCTTGAAATGGGTCCTCAGGAGTTTTAGCTGGAACTAATATCCAAAGTTTTAGTATTTATATCCGTCATACACCTATTTCAAGTGAAGTAGAGGGAATTTCTTCTTCATCTGAACTTGAGCAGGCATTGGGGAATTCTTCATTTTCTTCAGGATGAATTATTACTGACGTTAACTAAGCTGATTTTCTTTTAACTCCGCTGGATTTGGGACGTTTATTGAAGGTTTTCTTATGATACATTAAACATATCAAGTCATTAACGTGATATATTTTCGTTTGTTTCATTTTGTGCAGAACGGGAGTGTGGATCTCCTAGTTTTTGATGGTGAACATTCACACTTTAAATTCCTCGTTACGACAACATCGCATCCACACGGCTTTGCACAAACGCAGGTACCTTGTGGTTTAATTGTGTAAGAATAATTATTTTCAATATTTTTCTTTGATGCTAAGAACTTATTCTATTGATGAAATGGTGGAGTAGGTGGTCCGTTTGCGTCCATATACGTTGTTCACAAATCAACTTGGGGCACCTCTTGAGCTGAGGCAAGCGGGTGGGGACGAATCAAAGACCCTACATTCTTGGGATTGGCAAACCGCATTTTCATTTCAAGCAATCCAGGATCCCCTTCAGTTGCAGGTAGATGGATGGACATTAACTCCACAAAAATGTGTCATCAAAATTTGTAGCACTATTTAGCATAAACCCTTGCGTGACGTAACAGCAACTATCATGTGTGCCCCATGGATTATCATACGAAAGCTTCATTATGAAAATCTACACGTTTTCGGTCTGTGTGCAATTGTGGAAAAGCAACAAATGGTTACAACCAAGTGTAAACCTCACAAACATATTTGCGCATTGCGCCTTTTCAATGTAGAAACATTATTGGTGTTTCTCGTGTGATGGGCCTAAAACAAACGACTCATGACTTCATTGAAGCGGCGGAGCCAAAACTTAAGATTTTGAACCATAACTGAAATCTGGGAGTATTACGCTGTAGAATATTATTTGGAGTTGAGTTTGATGTGAAACAGTTGAGAAATTTAGCTCTTAAGAAAATCTTTGATCTTTTTCATTTTCAGATACGACTGAAAGGATCAGACTGGTCATTCCCATTTGCCATCGATGATAAAGAGATTATGGACATTAGTGTTCGTCATGGAAATGGAGGAAGACAATCAGTTCGACTTGATGTCCGAGGGCATGATGCTGGATCTCAATTTTTGGCTGTTTTTCAGCTAGGTTCATCTCGCGGTCCTTACAGGTATGTGTTTGATGTGTCTTTTGCTGTGTTTTGTGCTGCTTTGTTTTTGTTTCTTGAGTGTTATTCTACCGAGTCGTCCACGAAAATCGTAATCGATGATGAATTCCTGAATCTTCACTCTGGAGCAGGTATCTATCTTAGCCCATATTTATATATATATATATATATATAGAAAGAGAGAGAGAGAGAGAGAGAGAGAGAGAGAGAGAGAGATCACATTTAAACTGTTTGTAATCGTGTTCCAAAATGAGGTTGACGCACTGACTTGTTTGTTTTGCAGGGTTGAAAATAGAACAAGTCAGATGCGACTCAAATTTCGTCAGTTAGGTCTAGATGAAAGTGCCTGGAGGAGCGTAAGACCACATTCGTCGGCCACCTTTGCGTGGGAGGATCTCCAAGGTGAAAAGGTCTTGGAAGTAAGCCAAGAAGGAAGTGATGCCTCCCAAATTGTTAGGATAGATCTTGACAAATTGGGTGATCACCCTCTTTTTAACGGCAACGCGTTTGTCTCTTTCAATATTTGCGTTCGGGTATGGAAATCTTGACCTCTTGTATATTTGTACATAGCAATGTTCCAAGATATGAATGGATTGTTTCTGCACTTCTATAAGTATTATATTTTAATTTGTTAATTTGAAATAGATCACTATAAGTCTAATAGAGTTATTTTATTGCATTACATGTATAATGAATGTTGCTAATGCAGTGTTTCAAATAAATGCTTAGGTTCCGGATGCTTAAATTGCTAATAACTTCCCAGTAATAGACCTGAGATAAAAAGAAATGCAGCTGTGTGTTATGTTCTTCTTGTTGGTTATATCCTCTATCCGTCTACCTCTTGTTTTTATTTTGACAAAGTCTTTTTTATTTTTAGATTGTGGAGTCTTCAGAAGCCAAAGTAGTAAAGTTCTTTGATTCAGAAATAGGGACCCAAGAGTATGAAAGCGCTGATAACAGTGAAATCGAACAACTGCTTCCAACTCATGGTGCTACGGAATCCATACAAGATGACCAAGAAAGGTGCTATGATGCTCCATCACAAACAGAGATTGCCTTGGGTATTGGCAAATTTGGTCTATCAATTGTTGACCAGCAACCTCGGGAGTTGGTTTTCCTTAGTATGGAGAAAGTGGACATTGTCTTTGCATCTGGACTAGGCGACAACGTCAGTAGGTAAGTGCAACGAGAATGGTCCTGTCTTTTCCTCAGGCTAAACTTTAAAAACTTAATCTCATACCGAATCGAACAAACTAAACAAAGAACTCGAATGAAGTTTTCAAACTCTCTTTCTCTACTGCTAGGTCTTTTCGTAAATCATATGCCATGATTGTAGACGGATGGAGGATATACATCTTAATTCAAGCTTTTTGAAATGGTGTAGGTTTACAGTAAAGGTGGGCTACATGCAAATAGATAATCAACTTCCTCTTACACCCATGCCTGTATTACTAGCTCCTGAGCTCCATGAAGAGGACTTTGTTATCAAGGCCATTGCATCTATGAAGGTAGAGACTAATGAAGCGATCCAAGTTTATCCATACCTTGGGTTGAAGGTATGTTACGCTTTTGGACTCATCATGTTGATTGTATATCAATATTCAATGCTGTGGTCAGGCAAGAGCTGCATATTTCAGAAATCTGCTAGTAGGCATGTTCTGTTTTGTTTACATGCCATTTTTCATCAATGCAACCGCGATCTTAGCTATGTTAGCTTGAGTGACATGTTAATTAAAGGTCTTTCAGGATGCTCTTGCACGTGAGGTGAACTATATATTGAAGCGAACCAATTGATTGCAGTTAACTGGAAGCGCATGGCGTATCAATATACACGAAGCATTAATTTGGGCATTTTTGGAGATGTTTAACAATTTGCATCTTGATCGTCTCTCATCGGACTCGCAAGTTGTCCAAGTGGATCCAGAAATACGCATTGAGTATGACTTTATTTCCCTCGCTTTTCTTTTCACGGATTACAGAAGGAACGTAAGAGATTAGGAGGAACGTAATTGTGTATAATTTGTAGGAACTTTTTGTAATCTTAATCGCAGTGTCACTTCAACAGAAGGTACTAATTTAGCTCTAGTGAATTGTGGTTAATTTCAGGACGTTGGACATGGCTGAGGTGCGATTGAAGATTTCAGTATACACAAGCCCTGATCAGCGGCCTCGAGGAAAGCTTGGTATCTGGGGTCCTGCATTTACCACGCTAGGCAACATTTCCAAAATGCCGGTCAGCATACCCACCACTATGTCTTAAATTGATTCTTCTTGGAGCTAGTGTTATATTGGTGTGTTGTGTGAGATCATTCTGACAACTTTAATATCAAAAACTCATACTTGAATGTTCAAGTGGTCCTGCAAAATGTGAGAGTGAATTATATGGTAAACTTAATAGTAGGTGAAAAGATATCCCCGATGATTCCGATCCACAGAACTTTCACAATTAGTATCTTTTCGACCTTTGATTCTAGTGGTGGAGACACCAATCCAATGTGTTGTCTGACATATCTTTGCCAGAACTGACCTAGTCCGATCGTACTTGTTTACAGATTAATTTCCGCCCTGTATTTCGAGAAAATCGACGTATGCGGAATAGCCAAGTGGTAACTCAAATTCTAAATCGCGTTACACTGGATCTTATTCACCAACCAATTCAGCTTCTGTTAGGCATGGACGTTCTTGGCATGACAAGTTCTACACTTGAGACAATAAGTCGAGGAGCCGCAAGTTTATCAAAAGATGATGACTTCATGCGAATCAGGGCTAATCAGGTCAGCTCATAGATTCATAACAATTCTTCATTTCAAATTTCAATTGCGCAGTTATGAGTTTACGTTTTAGACATGAATATTATTCCTTGGTGCCTACAAACCTCAAATATCATCTTTTCAGTTCTATTTACCCGTTCACTCAAGATACCACTTGTCTCATCTTAGAGAACTTCTTATGATTTGTCCAGGAGACCGCTAGGAGAATAAAAGGGGTGAAAGATGGCGTGGTCCAAGGAACTGCATCTTTTGCTCGAGGTGTGGGCTATGGTGTGAAAGGAATGCTAACAAAGCCCATCGATGGTGCTCATGATAGAGGAGCTGTTGGCTGCATTCAAGGTGTCTTCAAGGCTTTGGTTGGGATTGTTGCGGAACCCCTAAGTGGTTGTCTGGACTTCATGGCTTTAAGTGTTAGCGGCATAGATACAAGCTGCACAAATTGCTTTGAAGTTTTCGACAAGAACCAGAAAGTTGAACGCCGTCGTCTTCCTCGTGCCATTAAGGGAGATGGCGTTCTTACTCGTTATAATTCCAATGCTGCCCAAGGACTGGTATCACATGCTGCACTTTTTCCCTTTTATCTACAAGTTAGATGTTTTTACATACATAATAAGTACCAAACCCCCTTCATGTATTAGAATATGCTGAAATCTTTTCTACTTCAATCTGTAACTTTCTTAAACAAAGAAGAGGGTGGAAGAAGTCATATGTTGAACACTAGAAGAGCACGCAAGTAGATTGAGCTACTTGACACTTGTAGAACAACTCATATCCTAATTCATTGTTTTAGAAATAACTCGCTTTTACAATGCTGGGTGAACTTTTACACCCCTCTAACTGCGTAACAATATTATATTCAGATTTAGAGTTTAGCGTTTACAACGCTTTTATAAATTGAGAATTCAACAACAATTAACTTGAAGACCTTGAAGAGAGGAAAGGCGTATGTAAACGTGAAATAGTACAAGAAATTTCACTTAGGTTTCTAACCACCTTTAGTTCCTGAGTGGTATGGACTCTTAAAGTTTTGGTTCGAGCAGTGAAAACGTCCGAGCAGTAAACCCTGAAGTTGATCGCTATAAGCTACTAGCATGATCTTCACGTCTTCCAGCTGTGACCATGTCCGCGAGGTTCCTGAAGAGTTTCCTTAACGTGATGGTTCAAAATAGGTTAAAGTTACTATGCTTCTGATTGCAGGCCATTTTACAGCTTGCACAAAGCGGCGGCATAACTGGAAGAAGGGACGTGTTCAAGCATGCAGCGATTTATGCTTTCTCGGATTTCTACCAAGACCATTTCCATTTACCCAAAAACTGTATTCTCATGTTAACAAATCGAAGAGTTTTAATGCTACAGGTGAGTAATTTTAGTCTTGTAGTTCTAGCATGAGATGACACATGAAAAGCTTGATATTGTAGTTGGTAATTTCAATAAAACATTAAGAAAATAAATGCACAAAGAACCTCCAAGAGTGTTGCCTTTAAAGATCTGGACTCGTGTAATTAACTGATTCCTTGCGCTGAGGTGTATGAAAGAATTTAGCCGTGCAGGTTTAGTGGTAATTATCACAGCAAATCCTTCTTTGCAATGCATCCTGTTCGTGACGGGATTGTGCAATCTCAGACGTGGTTTTAAATATTTCATAACAGAGTCCGCCATCACATGCACGAGAGAGAAGCAAGGAGCTGACAGATCCTTGTACAGTACAGTGGGAAATTCAATGGAATAATTTGCTGGCCATGGAAGCGGCAAATGATCAGAATCAGGCGGAGCCAACACAAGTCTTCCTTTACCCGAGAAACTCCACAAAGCAATTCGCTTATGTTGTATCGTGCAAGCATCCATGTAATTCAGATACTCCTCAAGCCACTCAAATCTGCAGAGCAGTTCAACAGCAATGGCGAGCATTTTGCCCAACTCCCGAGGATCCAACGAAGGCTAAGGTAGGCAGTGACTTTTTAGCACGAGATTATTTTGCTTCACAATTTGTGGTTATTTGATAACTACGAAAATTCCCATTAATCTTATCAACCACACGAATAAGTTACTAGTTTGGTGTACTTTCCTTGCTGAACTCAATTTTGATTGCTCACAGTAAATTTCACCAAATAAACACGTAAGGAATACAATGCCTGCAGGTCCCCACTTTCCTTGCTTCTGATGAAACCCTTTTGTGAATGATTGCTTTCTTCGAAGTTTCAGCTGTAGTGCATTATTCTCAGATCCGAGCTAAGCACTCAATGTTCAACTTCAACGACTGTTCCACAACGTATCCTATTTTTAGAACTAACGTAATGTTGGTATTTGCATTCAATTACTGTAATTAAAGAAATGATGTATGATATATGTTACAGAAGTCTAGAAGGTTACGAAGGCGACACAAGTTGAGACCATTATGGGAAAGTGGCAAGAATAGCAGGAACAGCCAGGCAAGTTCTAGCCGATCATACGTTGAGCATTCTGATACCTCTGGATCTTCTCGACAACAATGGGATACCCAACTTGCTTCAACAACAGGGGATGAAGGGTTTCGGTTTGAAGTCTCTTTAGGAAACCTCTTATGGAGTTATAACAAGAAATCCAACGGTTCTTGTCTGGTATGAAATACCTCTCATTATACTTCTCACTTCCTAGAAAGTGGATCGATTTGTGTCCCTAATCTGGCCGGTTTGCTGCAGAAGGCACTTTTGAGATCTCATGAGTAGTGCATTGTATTACAGGGGTTCACAGTGGCTGATAATATCTCGTTTTGGCGTCCCGATCCACCACCTGGGTAAATACTTCTGACTATCTCATTTTTTAAACCTGATAAACCACCAAAACAACTGGTATTCGTTGTGTGACGTTGGAAGTTTCTATAAGGTTTCAAAGTGTTGGACTGAATATCTTGTTTAAGTCAGTCTCGAGTTATGTTTTCGGTTGGCTAATTTCAGACTAAAGCAATTCAAACTTTCAAGTCCTAAGGAATTGCTTGTGAAGTTGGTGAATACTAAGTCCTCGCTAATCTTCAAACCAATCTATATTGTAGATACGTATCTGTTGGAGATGTTGCATTCACTGGAGACTATCCGGACAACCAAACTGTAATTGTCTACAGAAACGACGAGGACAAATTTGAGAAACCTTTGGGTTTCAATTTGGTACCAACTTATTTCTCTTGATGATTTAAGAAAGATCTCTTGTCCGTAATCTGCCTTGACATTTCACAGACAATTGATAGCTACCTCTTGTGTACATCTTACTGATACTTAGGCTATTATTTCTCAAGAGTTTTGAGTCTCTTTGGTGTTTTATATGGCTCCGTTCAATCCTGAAAACCATGGGTAAAATGGAGCCAAAAAAATTGAAGCATCTGAATAATTTTTACAGGTGTGGAGAAATTGGAAAGACGGATCAGGGAGTCCAATTTCTATATGGATGCCAATTGCTCCAGACGGCTATTTGGCCGTAGGATGCGTGGTGTGTGCTGACTATGAAGAACCCCAGCTGGACGTTGTATGGTGTGTACACAGTGACTTGACTGAAGACACTATCTTGGAGGATCCGGCGATCTGGAAGGCCCCAAGTGAAGCTCCTTGGCATTGTTATGTATACACTGTGGCTAGTGAAGTGCGAACTTTCATAGCACTACGACAGGAGAAGAATGAGAATACGCCCAATCCTAGAAAAGTAATTGACCAGATACAGTTTTACTAGTGACGTTCGACTATTTGTTCTCTCTATTCTTTGGTTTGAAGCCCCATCTGCAGTACCCTCGAGGAAGTGCCATTGTAAACATGTTCTTGTTTATGGTGTTGGAATGTTGTGAAAACATTTATTTATTTATTTATTTATTTATTTATTTATTTATATTATTTATATTATTTATTTACAATTTATTAACATTCATGAATGTAAAAATTAAACATATATGAAGATTACTCTAAAGTGATTTAAATGATTGTATATATATATATATATATAGATATACACACACACACATATAATTCAGTTCTTGTTTTGTCTTTCATATGTGTATGGATTCTTTATAATTATTCTTTTTCATTTTTTTCAGCATAAATTTTTTTCATGATGATGGAATATACAAATTCATGAAAACTAGAAAAATACAACCATTGGTGATACTTTCATACGGATCAGCTGAAAATCATGAACACAGACTGCAATCAGAGAATAGATTTTACGAGGCAAGACGTCAATATGCTTGGACTAAAGTAGTGGCAATGATAATAAATTTTGGACTTATGAGTTCAATTTTAACCAATGATAACCTCTTGTTCAGAAAAATACATTTATAAAAACTTTAAAAAATGAAAATTTTAATCCAAAGTTGACAGAAAAACAAACAAACAAACAAAAACAAAACAAAGCAAACCACACTAAACCAAACCAAACTAAAATTTAAAGACAATAAAATATTACACTGCAATTCAACTGATATAGTAAATTTCATGCAATAATTTTATTTAAATTTACTAATAAATGAATTACATTGGTTGTGTTTTTTACCACGTATGAGCATACAAAATCATTCAAGTCCTCCAAAAGTTTTTATAGACAAGTACGAACATTTCTGAACCTCTAGAACTTTCTTTTATCTCTCAATTTCACAGAAAAGGTCTCATTGACATTGAATTTTATAATACAAATGAGGAGCAAGATTAAGTGATTGAACTTCACCCTTGCCAAGATAAACTATGAAGCAATCCATGGTGTTGTCATTTTTCAAGCTGCGAATCATTTCATAATGTTTGCAACCACTTTTGAAATCAAATAAGATTGTGTGTGTGTGTGTGTGTATGTATGTATGTATGTATGTATATATCAATCTATTTCTTTTATTTAATTCCTTATTGTCAACTTCTTGCATAAATGACACACTGGTAAATATAATTATATTACATTATAAATAGATTAGATGAATTAAATAGATTGGTGAAATGAATATTATGTATGTGGAATCAATTGTTGTAGCAAAAAATAATTGTATTGAATAACTTCTGAATGGATTAAAAAGAATAATAATAATAATAATAATAATAATAACAACAAAATTAACACAATTTAAAGTATTTTTTATTTCGACATGAAATGAGGCTAGTAATATGAATATTCCTTCCATTCATTTAATTCCAAGATTGTAAATCTAACCTAATGAATATTTGGTTCATAATTCCCAATATCAATCATTTTAGTTAGCTTTCATATAAAACTATATATATATATATATATATATATATACATAACTGAAAATAGTAGAATAAGAAGTTGAAAAGATGGAAAATTCATACATTTCATAAAAATTAGCATAAAGGTCAATTAGTTTTAATCATTTGTTAAATAACAGTTTAACTTGTACTATTTACATTTAGATATGGGCATACAAACATTCAGACACACACTCTCTGCAATGAAGAAGTATACTAAATTATTGACAAAGAAAATCAATCTACAATACTATGTAAAGTCTTTTATACATATATAAATATACATATAGATAGAATTACCAAATCAATTTGTACTTCATTTAATATTTATTGTGCATGGTCCTAAATTTTACCTTGAATTATCGCCAGACGGTTTAGTGACAGTTTTGATGCAATAATAGAAACTACCCTCACTTCAACTATTTATCTCATGGTCCAATATGATTTTCACGTTCCATCACGTATTTAAACCTTATTTCCACATGTGATAAGTATGAAATTATTATTTGCCTTTGCTCCCTATAGTTTTGGTGCCATGGCAGGGGGAAACATGCCCGGTTCTACCAGGGCCATCATGTCCGGGTATATACTGAGTAACAGGGTATCAACCGAAGGGTTAATAAGGCGAAACCCTAGTTGGTCCAGGAGCGCCGCGATGGAGGGAGGGAGGAGGGTCTCCTTGAAGAGGTTCAGGGCGTACGAGAAGCCCCTTTTCCGTTTCGCTTCGTTTCCTTTCCTTTCCTTGCTTCGCAGCGTGATTACGCGCAGGTTGAAGTGTTCCAGGATTACGCTTCCATGGCGACCCCGACGGAGTCAGTGCAGTGCTTTGGCAGGAAGAAAACGGCTGTGGCTGTGACCTACTGCAAGAAGGGCAGGGGTTTGATCAAAATCAATGGCTGCCCTATCGAGCTTGTGGAGCCCGAGATTCTCAGATACAAGGCCTTCGAGCCAGTGCTGCTCTTAGGCAGGCAGAAGTTCGCCGGCGTGGACATGCGCATCCGCGTCAAGGGTGGAGGTCACACCTCACAAATTTACGCCATCAGGCAGAGCATTGCTAAGGCTCTAGTAGCGTACTTCCAGAAGTACGTCGACGAGCAGTCGAAGAAGGAGATTAAGGATGTGCTTTTGAGGTACGACAGGACTTTGCTTGTTGCTGACCCCCGTCGCTGCGAGCCCAAGAAGTTCGGAGGTCGTGGTGCCCGTTCTCGGTTCCAGAAGTCTTACCGTTAAGCACCGAAGCGATTGGAGTTGTTGGGGTGGTGGTGGAGATGCTGTACACGATATATCTTTTCTGACAGGGGAGATCCTTAGGGTTTTTGGTTTGGGTGACCTAAAATTTAGGTTTGTGAATCTTAGATTGTGTGGATTCCTCCACCTGCGGTAATGCTTTGAAACGTCTGATATAATACACAAAACAGAGCTTCACTAATTTTTTGATTATACCTAAAGTCAGATTGAAGCGCTTCCTCTTTTATCTAATCTGCATGTTGTGATTCCTTGAATTCTTCAATGTGTTACGAAGTCATTTTTATATTGTCGCTAGGGTGCCTGTCTTGTTTATGATTTTCCCCTTGATGTCGTTTCAAAACTTCAAGGTCTGGATTGACTGCTTTATCAAGTGTTTTACGCTAACACTAAGTCGGGCCTAATTAGGTCAACATGGTCACATGCTACATTGGATACAATAATCTGTTGTTCACAGGTGTCAATTGAACACTCTTCATGGGGTCTATTAGATCATTCTGGATACATTATCCTTACCAAACTGTATTTCTATGTTGCTGAGGTATTCTCCTAAGTAGGGTATTCTCCTTTTTGGCCCAAAGCGTTTGAACAGAGACTTATCGCTTCTTGCTGAAATGATTGAACGGGGGTAATATTAACTCGGACACTCTGTAACTGCATCTCAACAGAAAGTAGGGTTTCACTTTTATTTCCTGACACTCAAACTGTCTTGTAAGTAGTCCTGTTCCTCCGCATTTGGATTATTGTCTTTTTTCAATCTTAACATTCCTAGGAGGCATGCCTGTATTTCGTGTCGGCCGATTGCTGTCATCCTTTGTCTCATTTCCTGAGCCCCTAGTTCTCCTCGTGGGTCCCGTAGCTTCATGCGGTTCCTCATGCTGTCGTGGTTGACACGTTTTCCTGAGCACGCTGGTATGCATGTGGACGTATCTTCACTTCAGAGTTGTTCACCAGTGGTTGCCCTGCACCTGTTCCCTTGGTTGATGACAACGAAGAACTGTACCTTCACTCAATTGAGGTCTAAAATGCTGGAAATTCCTCAGATGTGAATTTTGATATCCTTCTGATTTTGGAATGCTACACATGGCGACACTAATTCCTATGATTTTGTAATGTTTCGATCAAACGGTGAGTAGTAGTACTACCGATGATTGTTCTCATTTGCATATAAGTAACACGGGTGTAAGATTACACAGTGCAGCTTGATTTGTTGCCGATATCGAATTAAATGCGGAGGAGTTGCCAGGTCAAAGTTAACGAAAGACTCAATTAAGCAGGAACAAACCTCAGATATAAATGAAGTTGAACAGCACTTTGTTTCTGACGCAACGAACAATGAAAATATGCTAAACCTCACGTCACAACATTTATCGATCTTCTTGTCGTCCTGTGGCATAAAGACGTTGGAGGAATCTCGGATTTTAATTTTATATGAACCCAGGATTTGGTTCTTTGAGTGCATGTGAGGCACTTCACCGATTGAAAGCTCATCTTATCATTGAATAACTGAATTTGTTTCTATAGTAAAGAACCATCAGTGTTGAACACGGTGGACACAGATGGGTTTGATGAAGCAATTCTTTATTCAAACTTTGATCTTGACTGTCACCACAGACAACTACATTGCCACCACTTTCCTCGCATGCTGAGTTGTGAGCAGACGAAGCAAACAAAAAACTTCGGGCGGGTCCTAGTCCTTTCCACGTGTCCTCTCACACTTGTTATTGGAGCGCTCATGGCGGAAGACCACTGATGTGCAGCTCCCGCAGTCTTCAAATTTCATCTTCTGTGAACCTAAGGCAAGTACTAGATTGCAGATCAGTTTGTAAATGTTCTCGAGTAGCTGGTCAAAGTGGTTTAGTTGAAGAAATCGTTTAGATTCAACGACGTCTGGAGGGGAGAGGAGCTGAAGCTGGTTGAAGATGGAAAGTAGGATCAATGATTCTAAAAGGAAGAGAGTGGTAGTGGTCGGGGGCAGCATCGCAGGGTTGTGTTGCGCGCATTCACTGCTCCGATCGGAATGGCTGGAGGTCCTTGTCTTCGAGAGGGCACGCTCTGTCACGGCTGCTGGAGCTGGCCTCGGCGTGGGCCCTCGCGCTTGCGATGCGCTTCGAAGTTGGGGATTAGGGGATGCACTTGAATCGTCGTCCCTGCCGCTTTCAATGGAAGAGGTCCGTCTTCGGATCTCTCATTGTCTCTTGATAATTATCTCTAACTCTCTCTCTTGCTGCAATTTCGGTTGGTGATGGGTTGTTGGAAAGTGCAAGGTAATTTAACCTGAGCAGTATCAGCTGAGTGGGTGCAGAATAGAGCGCTTGACAGCAAGAGAAATGATCCTGTTGTAATCAAAGACGAAACCTACGATCACCGAGCTGTGCATTGGAGTGACCTACATCGTCTCATACACGATGCGCTACCTGCGGGCATTGTTAGATGGAGCCACGAGGTCGTCTCGTTTGCGGAGCTTCGAGAAGCCAATGGAGAGCCCCGTGTGCGAGTCAAAGTGTCCAAATTAGGAGGTGCAGAGAATGAAAGCAACGTGGAAGAGATTGATGCTGATTTCATGGTTTCTGCCGATGGATCCATGTCACAGACCCGGGAAAAATTTATACCGAATGAAAGCAGAAGGTAAATGGGGGGTCATCAACCGTATCTTTATTACCATGTTTTTTAGGGTTCAATTTTATTGTAAAATGCTCAACACTTAAATCCTATGTATCACACAAAGAGAAGGATCATCATTGTCCATTGCACTACAATTCCGTCATTCCTTGACATTGATTTGGTAGCTTCGATTCGTACAAACAATAGGTACTCTGGGTACTGTGCATGGAGAGGTGTCTTGGAGACATCTTCCGAACATGCCCAAGAAGTGGCAGAGACTGTTAAGAAGGCGTATCCTGACCTTGGAAAGTGCCTCTACTTCGACATTGCCGAGGGTACACACGCAGGATTGTATGAGCTACTGAAGAAAAGGTTGAACTGGTTATGGTATATCAACCAGCCAGAGCCCCAATTGAAGGTATTGAATTTCTCATCTTATTTCTGACAGCTCATAAACATTTCAGCTTTTCTTTCCTGGAAGTGCAGCTTGTTTATACACAGCTTTGAAACATGGATTTTGGTGTCCAGGGCAAGTCAGTCACTTTGAAAGCTGATGAAAAAGCTATCAAGGAGCTCCACGAGCAAGCGCAGCGCACATGGCCACCCGAGCTGGCGAAGTTGATGCAATCAACCGCAAGTCCTTTCATAAATGCAATTTTTGATCGAGAGCCTCTAGGCCAGTTTGTATGGGGTCGTGTAGTATTGGTTGGAGAAGCTGCGCATCCGACAACCCCGCATGGCTTGCGTAGCACCAATATGTCTATCGATGACGCATTTGTGTTGGGAAACGCCATTGCAAAGTGGGGTCCCGATCAAATTGAGGTTGCGTTGGATGAGTACCAAGGAGAACGGGTTCCGGCCGCTACTAGAGAGGTTCTTTTCTCCCGACATCTGGGTAAACTGAAACAGGGACTTCTCATTCCTGGCATTGATTGGCTGCAAGCTGAGCAAAACCTGAAAGAACAATTGCTGCAAAAGAATGTGCATAGTTTCCAACCGAGTGAACTATAAACTGTGCAATGTATGTTGCCACACAATTAGCAGAGAGGCCAAGATGGTATGAGGCCAAGATGATATGCAGATAGAGCTCTTCTGAGCAAGTTCGTCAGAATCTAATCCGAGTCCAAGAGTGGGTGTCCAACAGACGAATAAAAGATATCATTGGATCCCCTGGCACAGAAAGTCATGTGATTGTAACGTATATGGGAAGCCACTGAGAATAATTTCATCTCCTTGTGGAAAAAAGTGCAACCAGTAAGTAAGAGGCACCTTTAAACTGTTAACTTGCTATTAGATTTGAACGTGAGTTCGATTTGTAATTTTGGAGCTGAATTGACTAAACAATGAGTTATCAAAGTTGAAAACACTACCAATGTTTATTACATAGGGGTTGATCTACCTTGCCATCAAAACCAATGCGTGTACATTCAATGGTAATTTGTCTCAGTTTGAAATAATGTGTTTTTAAAATCAAGCATGACACGTAATGTAATATGCGTTTACATGTGAATGAATTATATCTAAATTAACTGGTTCTTCCTTAACCTCGTTTCCATCGATATCTTCATCTCCCCTGCATGTTTTTGGGGAACAAAAGTATCTGAAAATCTGTACTTTCAACTTTACAAGTCCAGGGCATGGTCATTCTGAAAAGTTAGCCAAAGAATCCACTTCGAAAGAGGTGTGCTTCCCAACAACTCAATCTGGAAGAAGTGCGTCTCATGAGATATGTGCACGTTCACATTGATATTATGTCTAGGGTTCGGTTGTCGATGTGATTCAGATATTTTCACTTATACTGCATACCACCATCTGGTTTGAAGTGCGCAAGTTTGGAGTATGATGGATCACTGTCCACAAAAAGTGTTTTGATCCACGCCAAACCATTCTAATCTCTATCGCAGCAGTTCTTAGCGAAAGTGCAGTTACGGGCATCTGCGACCAAAACTGCTTTCCCATGAAGGCTAATACTTCTCCATGTTAAGACAGGAAATGGTGGCAGTTCCTATTTCAATCCAGATACAACCATCATGAAAAGAGAGGCTAACCCTTTAGGGGAAAATTTTGTATTATAATCTCATATCGATGGCAACTGCCACCATTTCCCATAACCGGGAGTACTCGTACACAGACAGCTCAAATCAGAGCTCATAATTATGACAAAATTATGTACTAGGTTCACATGACACTGGTAGAAGCAATGGGGTTCTTCAGGCATGATCATGTCTGGCGAGTTATAAGAAACACCCACTCAAGGAGCACCACCTTCACGTATCAAAACTCTGATCGACCTGCAGAATAATCCAGCGAGACCTAAACAGTGTAGAGCTAAGTATGGAGCAAATGCGCACCAAGATCTAGTATTTAAAGAATATGTCCCTAAATGTCATCTCCTGAACTTGCTGATTCATCGTCGTCACTTCCACTCTCACTACTGCTGCTACCACTACCACTGTCACTACTACTACTACCACTTTCACTGGAACTTCTATTACCAGCTGCAGTGGCTGATTGAGCCCTTCGTGATGCGGCAGGATCCGATCCAGACTTTCCACCTCCATCAGCTTCCTCGTCCTCGCTTACATCCACATCTTCAATCTCGTAATCGCTGTGCTCCTCAATCACTTCCACAATCTCTTCCTCCTCGTCCCCAACGACATCAACCTCCTCAACTGAAGCAGGTGCTTGTCTAGCTTTCTTGGACTCTGGTTCCGGTTCTCTCTCTGGTTCAGGCTCTGGTTCTGGTTCAGGAATCTCAAGATCATCGATATCTATTTCGGGAGATGCCTCCTTGACATCAGCAGGAGAATTCCTCTTATTGGAGGCTTTTGAAGAGCTTCCTTTCCTTTTTGTAGGCTTCTTTGGTGCTGGTGCTGCACAAAACCAATAACATATTCGAGTCAATATGATGAGATTCTTTCAGCCACGACAAATCAGCGTCAGGGTCATGAAAGGAGGACTCAAACTCATCCACACACTAGAAGTTCTGAATCAATCTACTTGGCATGACAAGGAACATCTTAATTCACAGATATTGTAATCTGATAAGCACCTGGAGCTACTTCAGGCTTGGGAGCAGGATCGGGCTCATCTGTGATAGTCTCTGTGACCTGAATGGTGAGAAAACACAGGGAAAGTCAGAGTAAACTCATATGAAGAAGTTGAGTGTGCTCCAGATTTATACAACCACCGCATTTTAATCAATCAGCAATGCTAAGGTTCTGGTTCCTTGTTACTACCACCATTTCATTTTCATTCGGTTTCGTATCGTGAACTTCACTTAACTGATATTCCGTTATATTCTACGCGGCATTTCTTCTCAAGCTGCTCTCAAGACTTTAAGCAACATTAACACAGGTACAACCTGAAGTTACAATAGCAAGAAATCAGCTTGCAATGAGTACTCCTACTGTTTCATCGTCATGAAATCCCTAGGTTCCAACGAATCTTCTGAAAAACCAGATACAGTCCCGTTGTCGATCTTTCTCTCATTATGAGCGTGTTAGTTAAGAGGCTGCTAATGTGACTCTTGATGTTCGTAGACAACTGATAAGATCGAGATTTTAATGGACCCAGACCCTCGACGAGGACATGTTTCTGAACTCAATCCATCCAAAACGACATGAGAATTCTGCAAGTCACAGAGAATATGGAGGAACAAAGTTGGAGGCTGTACATGATGGGCTTTGAAGGCATTCTTCTCTGCATTGTTATATCCCCCGTTTGAATGAATGGGAGAAACAGCCCCCGATGCAGCACTTCCAGCTAAAGCTGCAGCCGTCTCACCCTGCCTCAAATGCCTAAGGCTCTTCACAGCTTTATGCAACCGCTCCAGTCGAAAATTTTGTCCATCAAAGAAGATGACAGCATCCATGTCTTTGCAATCCTCACTGTTCCCTTGAAAAGCCACTTTGGGTTTCCCGACCTGGTTATTCGAAAATTCCACGGTGACCTTGTTCTCAACACTCTTGTGGAGTGTGCCAGGAGTGCCTGTATCAATTGAGGCTGGTTTGAATTCATCTGCAAGGTAATATAGATGAAGAATACACAGAATTGGTCAGCTTCGGAAGTTGGCAATCCGGTGGCAATATAAATCCAATGATAAAATTCCTTTGACTATAAGAATGACACTGTAAGTCATCGGAACCAGACCATAACGGTTAGTTGAAAACAATGTTGAGTGAGCTTCAAGTCTATAAATGACGAAAGTAGATACAAGAGCAGCTTCCTTAATTCGCACGGTACATGGAGAAATCAGCTTCCAAGAATGACCACACCGAAGAGAATCTCACATCTCAAGGAATAAAACCGAGTTGGGGTCGGTTCCAATATGGTTGGCCCTAATATGAGAGGAAAATATGTGTCAGTGGGCGGAGCAGTATCTGGCTCCACGGTCCTCGCCATCTCTTGGAATGCCCCTAAAACCCTAGTTCCACCTCCACAATTCGACCAATTCTACCACCCTTGCGCCACTGTTGAACCTCGTCCACAATTCAGGCCGCTGTTGAACGCATAATCATCTGATGCGGGTTGTTTCGTGCTCCCAGCTTCAGTTCAAATAATGCAATTCTTTCCCGACACATCCGTAACAAGACGACTGAGCAGCCGAGCTAACCCAACCCCAACTACAATTGATGCCCATTTTCGTCACCCTGCTACACTAAACATGAAAGTGACCCCGGACCTCAGATCAACAATGGAACGATGGCTTCCCACTCACGCCTATGGATCAAAACGAAGCTTGATACGCAGCAAGAAGAAACAGAGCTGACGCCATCAATCCTGGTGAAAACAAGAAAAATTGAATGGGTGGGTAAGAAATTGGGATGAGAACTGCAGCGCCATGAACACCAACAGCAGCGAAACTGCTAGAGGAAGCGATTGCGAAGGGGCCTGCCTTCAAGAACAAACAACAACATCCCCTGTTGAACCCTGATTGCGTGCAAGTTGCTGTGCTCTCTCGCTCGCTCTCGCTGGCTGGCTGATTGCAGTTCCTCCCTTCCCCTTCCCAGATACCCGCACTTGCCAAGAATCTCCGGCGCGGGTCGGGCCACCCGGCTCCTGCTGGCCTGGGCATGCCACGTCCCCAGCTGGATTGTTCTGGGTGGCCGGGTACCACAACTAAGCCGGATATCAGGTAGGTGGTTGGTGACCCTGTGCCTGCTTCAGAGGAACTACCCCGGACTTGACCCACGTGGATGAATGCCGTTAAAAACATGATTTTATCATCCTTTTAGGTCAAGTCTCGGGCCGAAACCATGTTACGTATGTATATGTGTTTTCTATATTCGGACACTTGTATCAGCTGGGGACCACAAAGTGAGTAATTAGCTTAGTTTCTTAATAAATTTGATGTTTCCAATTCAAAGCTGGACACAAATTTATTTATTTATTTATTTTCTTCTTCTTGACAGTTTTGACATTAATTTGCTATACATTTGTGAGGTGATGCATCTTCAATAACACTCATCATTCTTGGGAATCTTCATCACTCTTTTCAAGTAAGCACAAACAAATGAAATGATTTTGACTCAATTCTTCATTTTGATGAATATTTATTACTATCTTGGCTTTGAGTCTAGATATAGTTTTGTCTTGACCAATTACAACTACAATTTTGTTTTCTTTTATTAAAAAAAATATTTTCTTCAAGAATAAAAAATCTTCACAAGAAATATGGAAATTAATATGATAACATAGGTTTTTTATAAATTGACAATATTTGGTTACTTCATACACTCATAGTAGTGCAAAAACAACTTCACCTCAAGGTTACATTTTAAGGTTACAATAAAGGTCACATCATGTACATCCAAAAAGTGATCAAAATCTGGTCCATTTAGAAAAAACCTGATCAATGTATCAATTCCCAATAAATAAATAGATTGTAAATTTCAATAGCTTCAATTATCAAATAATATAATATTTATTTCTATAATTATCAAAAGTTTAATAACAAAATTATGACACAAATTTTTATTAGATATAAAACCAAAATAAATATACAAGTTTTGAGATAGACGTAAATTCAATTGAGATAAATATATATAAAGTTTTGGGATAAATATTCTATTTTTTAAAGAATAGATATAAATTCTTAGTTGTAATTAATAAATTGCAACTCGTACAATTTATTAACATATATATGATATTTTCATATGTGTTGAATACAATATTGGTATATTTATTTTATTGCATCGATTATATTACATTTTAATGTGTAATACACATATATACCAAAAATCCATGCCATTGGGCATTGCAATCTCTAACACATCTATCCATTTCCTTGTTCATCCATGATTCTTATGTTCCTTAATTCCCATGTTCTTTGATTTCCATATTCCTTATTTGTCGTATTCTTTGGTTCTCATATTCCTCAAATTCTCTAAGTTCTCAAAGTTCCTTTTTTCATGGCCAATCAAAAGACTTCTTTGTCTATTTGTGTTATATCCAAATTGTCTTATATTTAAATATAATACTAGACATTGAAACACATCTATTCATATACATTTGCATAATTCAAATTTATTTAAAAACTAAAATGATGTACAAAAAAAAAACATAATTATATCATATTTAAGATTTATTTGATTGTTTGGATAATATCATAATTATATCATATTTGATAATATATATCATCATCATCATCATCATCATGAAAGTGTATATTAAAAATTTTTAAATAATAAATCGAAGTATTTGGAGACATGCTGTTTGGCATACTCAAGTGTATATTTTTGATAACATCCAACCAATTGCATTGCAAGCATAAAGTTTTAAACTCTTAACAAAGTTTATGAATTCCTCATATTTATAATTATGCACTACATGCATTTTGTTGACTTTAAAAGAAGAGCAATATCAAGTGTACTTCAATTGTCTGTACTTGCAAATACTGAGTAAGATTAATTACGTCACATCTTATGTCTTTAGATTCTACAATAAAATATACAAAAATTGATAGTTGTGATCAAACTTAACGGATGATTTGCAAAATGAGAAAGTGCATGCAAAACTTCTCACACACTTTTTTAGCATCTTGATACAAATGAATATCCTATTTGTATCATGTGTCAACTACTTTAAAGTGGTAGTAGCAGTTAGTATGTTTATAGTATTATACTTTATCATCACCATAACACTTATTATAAATCTTAACAAATTCATTAGCAAGTTGTGTAGAAAGTTCTTCAAGTTGTACAATAAAGAGTGGCGATCTTTACAAAAGACATGCACACACATAGTTATATGAATAAATGCCATTCCACGTGAGCTATAATTTTTTTATTACCTACAAGTTAAGACAAAATAGAAGGATAAATACCAGTACTTTACAGGGTACCATTTGTTTCCAAAATTCAACTTTTAGCGCATATTTGTCCTTCCATGACTGTCATCCTAATCGAAATAAAGTGGTCCTCAAGGAAATAAAAGAAATATTTATGTAAAGATAGAAAAGTAATGAACGAGTGGGGGATGAATGTTGGACCGGTGATCCTTTTCATGGGACGTGAGTACACTACAAAAATAAAAGTCAGTCGATAAAATCCTCGAACGGACGATTACCGAGCGGAACCCCGTCCAGTGGATGAATACCATTCAGCAGGATCAACGGATTGCTCGGCACTGGCCACCGTGACAAGGGGACGAAACCCTAAAACGGTGGACGGACTGAGAAAAGGACGGACGGACGGACGGACGGACGAATGGAGGAGAGGACGAACGAAGAAGAAGGCGCAGTCATGCATCCCATGCTAGCCCTGAATTCGGCTAATGAATCAATAAACAGTAGTACGAGAGGGAGGAGGCGGCGATGTCGGCAACGGTCTCCATCGTCGTTGTCGGTCTATCACGCCTGCTGCCCCCTCCTAATGCTGGTGCTTCAGTGATGATCATAGCGTATTGCGCAGATCATGCCTGTCTTCTGTCTGCAGCAGCTGTCCTGTAGCTTCACTTTGTGTGATCCGGGGTTTTGTGGCTCTGTTGCTCCGGTGCCATTCTCTCTCTGGGTGGGCCATGGAGGCTGTACGCTCTTCCTGCAGCTGGGTCGCTGACAATGCCTCCCACGTCTCCATCGACCCTGCTGGTTCGTTCACGGCTTCTCCCACTCCCATGCCCCTCCTTGTCTCCATCCCTCTCTTTTCCCATTTTCATCTTTTTTCAGATTTACTTCTGTGAAGGAAGGTTCTCTATGGGTGGAAATTTTTGTAAGTTGGTATGTGTGTTTTGGGTTTTGGGTTTTGAGTTTGGTTTGACTGTTCGGCTTGGGGCGATGTGATGCAAGATTGCCTTTGGTCTCGAGGATTTGGTGCTCGTGAGCCCGGGTAGAGTTCCTGCTGATTAGAGAATGTGTTTTCAGTCGGTATTAAGTGTGTTGTGCAATGTGGGCGGTTGGTTTTTATGTGGGAACACGTGCGTCCTTTTTGACCTTCGTTGTGACTATTTCGATGAATTTTCCAGGGATTGAAAAGCTTGTGGACCACATTGGCGGGAAATTGCCTCCAATAAAGTGGGACTTTGAGGGCATTCACTATTTTGATAATGGACCCCTCACTGCTCAGTATATGTTGGTGTTGGACGCTCTCAACTTCTGCTTCTGGCCTGGTAAGCTCTGTTTTCTTCATGTTTGGTCTTTCGGCCTAAATTTCGTACCAGTTTTCTGGTCAACATATCTGATGTACCCTGATGCAGTTCTATTGGTGTTACATTGGCAGATGACGACTTGCAGTATGATCACTTAGCAGCTGGGCTTGCCGATGCATTGAAGGCAGATCCTACAGTTTTCGATGCGCATCGCTTGAAGAAAATTACAGGTTCTTCACCTGACGTTTTTTTTTTTTTTTTTTTTTTTGGAACATATATTTCAGAAATTCGTGGCAGGGAGCACAAATAATGGTCTAATTTGCCTTCTTTGACCTTGTCCCGGTAAGACTTAATTCGTGTCTCATTTTGAATCAACTCCAGGTGCTGCGCTGAGGGATTTGCTTCAATGGCCTCGTCCACTTCCGTTGGAGGATGAACGGGTTCGTCTGCTCCACGAGGTGCGAATCAAATCTCGTCTCTGTTGTGCGTGACAGAATAAGGACCTTAAAAGATGTGTTCTAACGGTGTGGCTTTAACAGGTTGGTACGGAATTGGAACGAAGCTTCCATGGTAAAGCTGTTAATTTAGTCACTGCTGCCAATGGATCTGCAGTTGCCCTCGTTGATTTAGTTACGAAACATTTTCCAGGTGCGAAGGTTAAATTTATGCGTTACTGAGTTGGTGTACTTGGTCACTTTCTGGTTCCTCTAAGTTAGTCCAATTGATTGAGCTACTGGCAAGACTTGCTAAATCTTCTAGATCGTATTGATGGTACGTTCTTGGCAGGTTTTCGGGACCATTCTGTGTACAAAGGGCACCAAGTCTTCCTCTATAAAAGGGCTCAAATATTCGTGGCCGATTTGTGGGGCGCCTTCAAAGGAAAAGGAATTGGGGAATTCAGGGACATATCAAGCATCACAATGTTTGCGGATTACGTAGTCCCAGCAGTGCTTAGACACTGGGGCATTCTAACATGCAGCCAAGCACTAGTAAAAATGGTGGACAGCTTACAAGAGCTTCCCTCTGGTTCAGAAGAGGAGGTGGAGCTTCGCGCCTGCACCATTACTGCAGTGGAAAGGCTGCGGGAATATCTAGCAGCTCGAACTGGAACGGAGGTAGGCATTGCAACATCCCACCGCGATTTTTTCATGTTCGGGCATGTCGTTTACTTATTGCCTCATTGTTCTGTGTAACTAATGTATACTATGTTGTGCTAGAACTTTTATTTGTTTATATTTATGTATGTTTTTATTTATTCATGCTTGACGGGCGAGTTAAGAATCCTTGTATGGAAGCATATGATTAAGTGCCACTTTTTTACCATTATGTAATTATCCGTTCTCACCTGTTGCACTCTCAACATGTTGGTAGTTAGAGCAGGACAGTTAGAAGGTTTGTGAGAAGTATCGGGGGGATGTTTATTGCTGTGTATCATGTTCGTGCCGGTGACAGGTTCTCAGCGTGCAAGTGGACTGGTGGCTATGGTCCTCTGGATTGCCAAGTGCTGTAGAGAAAGTGCCTCCTTATCATAGAACACAAACCATCTATTACTGAACTTGTAGTAAGAGGGACCAGAATGTTCCGCAGAAATCATGTTACTCTTTCAGTGGGTACATGAGAAAACGACGGACAGGAGATCGAACCAAAATTTCTTCTGCTCGGGTTGACCAGTCTCTGGGAAACTCCAATTTTGACACCGATCTATTTTAGCGTGAACTAAATCAAGCAGGACAACGACATATGTACTCTCTATTCCTTGTTGGTTTGTTCATGACACCTATGTGATATTGCACAACGCTGGCACTGTGATACATATATATATATATATATATATATATAGCTGACACATAAAACTCCTCTATACCAAGTCATTGCAGGTTCAATTTTCTCATTTAACCTGCAAAAGGTAGTTTGATTCAATCTTCAAAGCTTCGCAAAGCTGCGTTTTCATGAAGCTTTGCGGAACTTCATGGAGTTGTCAGCCTAAACATGTAACTAAACCGATGCTTGCCGCAAAGATTGTGTTCCGATCTGAACCTCTATTTCCTTCTTCACCATCACGAAGACAGAATTCCAGGCACTAATTGCGCCGCAAAGCCATTACCAACTTGAAGTCAACCTGTACTACAATCTTCCACCAACGCTGTTTCTTTCTCATCTGTAGGGTCTAAGATTGGAATTGGGTCTAAAGAAACGAATGACAGTTGTTTTTAATTTCACCATTGCTGACTTTGTACTGCATCAGAGAGAAGGTTTGATACCGCTCACAGAGAATATGCAAACTACGTTTTAACTGAGTTAAGTGTAGTCGTGATGGCATTGTTTACCAATAGTTGGACAAACAATGCATCTAAAGAGTATGTATTCTTATTCCTATGTATACATAATGCAAGGAAGCATTCTTGAGAAATTTCCTTTATGTTTGGAGGTAAAGTGAACCTCTATTAATCTACTACAACCATTTAAGATTCTTTGGAACCTTTTAGAACCTTTTAAAATCTGCCTGGTATCCATTATAACATATTAGGAACTTCTCTAGAATTTTTGAGAACCCTCTTCCATTGCATATCTATGATATTATCCCTCTTTAGTTCTGAGTGTAATAATGAACAATAGAGCCAAAGTTGATTAGAGATGAAGGAAGTAAAAGATGTATTGCATAATATTTGTCACATACTCAAGTTGTCTTTTGTCAAAAGATTTATTAATTCTTGCAACCAACAATAGTGACTAATACCTTCTAATATAGATTAATTGGTATGGTATTGGCATGGTAATGTCCTCTTGCATAATTATATTTAGATATTTAATTTAAATCAAAGACATATTTTTATTTTAAGATAAAATGTGACTATTTTAAGATTTGTTAGTTTATATGAAAAATGAAATCTTAATACTTTTTGGAACTACTTCCTCTCTTTCTACAAAATAAATTGTTAAGTCTAGGATATATTCTATTTGGATATGCTATGTGAATATATTATACTAACATATGTTGTTACATTAAATCTTAAAGGATATGGATGAAATTTTTATAATTTTTGTACCACATTCACTAAATTTGAAGTTGGCTTTCATATGTACTCACAAATATTATAACCATATTAATACTTAAAATATTCTAATTGTCCTTGTTTTAGCCTCAAATCAATTACTTCTTCCACCTCAAATCCTTCATGGTTAATTATTCAATACAAAGTACTAGTAGTTGTATTCTTTTTGATATGCTTGATTCTTTTTAAGATTCTAAAAGAGGTGTAAATAATAAGGTGAAATATTCAAGGTTCTTGTGATATATCTATAAAGTCTTTGGATGTGAAATACCTTCAAGCCAATGGCACCATTTCTGGAAAGAATCCATAAAAATAAGAAATTTATTGTTGTGCATCTTGTAATTTATCTCCATGGTTATGAATTTTTAAAAATAAAGTGCAAGTAGATGTAGTTTATTTACTCTTCCAAATTGTTATGAGATTGTTTTTAATGCAAAGTCTAAAGCATGAGTTTCAATAAAAAAAAAATAGCTTAAAAAAGTCTATGTGAATGAAAATAAAGATTGTGGTAAATGTTGTATTTATGTCATGAACATATATATTTACTCTAATATTTACCTATATAATTAAATAGAAGTAGGTAAAAATATATTTATTTTATAATATTTTTTAGAGAAGCTTTCTAAAAATTTCATAGATGTTGCTTTGACTTTATATGCATTTGTAGTTGATTAATAAGTTAAAAACTTAGCCAACAAGTTAACCTTATGTTGATAATTTGTAAAATGAGCTTCTTAAGAGGCATATATATAGAAAACTTGCTTTGTAAGTTAAAATATGTGTCTTATAAAGTCAACATATTTTGGAGGTCCTATAGGGCATCGCTAGATAGCTCCTAATTAAGAATCTTAGAGGCAAGAATGAAGTCTTCTTCACTCTTGTCAATGTCTTTGTAGTCTTTAGTCTTCTTTCAAATCTTTCTAGCCTTCTTGTCTTTGGCAATAGCCATTCTAATTTAATAATATATCATTATCTTTTTGAGTGATATAAGAGTGTATTGATGTTTCTTTTCTTTGAGATTCATATTTTTGACACTTTAAGTATTCAAAAGCTTTCTCAACTTTTGATTTCTATTTGAGTTTATCTTTTATTTGTTCTTTCTTTTATGTATATTAGATTATAAGCTTTGCAAAGATTTATTTTAGTTTAGATCTTAGTTTGAGCTAATTAATTAATAATTCTAGATATCAATGATAAAAATAAGTAAATAAATAAATAAAATTTTGAATGTTACTTTGTTGAAATCACAATAATTGATAAAATTTTGCAAAGATCTATATTTTTTCTTTACAAAGAATATAAATGCATCAATAAGAGATTTAAAATTTTAAATAAAGTTTTTAGCTAAGTTCTCATCAATATATTCCTTTAATTTTATAAGCTTGTTTTGTGACAAGTTATAAATTGGATGAAAATGTGATTAAGCATTATCTTGAAGATCAATAGTACAATCATAGGGATGATATTTTTGTAAGATTTTTTCGTTCTTCTTTTTAAACTTATCTTTAAATTCTTTGTATTCTTTTGAAAAGGTTATTGGAATATTTATTGCTTTAGATGTTGGAGTTGCATAAATAATAAAAGAAATGTCTTTCTTGGTTGCTTTGATTAAAACACTAGCTCTAACAAAATGAAGTTTTATGGTTTTAGATCTACAAGGTATATAACATTTTCTATTAAGTTTAGTAATAATAGGTTGTGATATTCTAAAAAATATATATTTCATATGGTATCCAATCTATACAAAGATTATATCTTTTTAGCTAAAAAAGTCTTAAAACAATAAAATTATGTTAAAACGTAATAAAATTAAATACAACCTAAGTACTATGATTCTTTGATGCTAATAGATTGGCTTTTTAAGTAAAATTTCTTGAAGATAAAGGTCGATCATATATGACCTTTATATAAATGGCCTTGAAATTCTTGATAATAAGAATTTTACACGTTCTTAAAAATTCTAAGCCAAAAAAGGAAGCATAGGCTCTTGAATCTATCAAAACAAGGGTTTTTGATTATTGAGCATCCAAACATATTAGCATAGTAAAAAAAAAAAAATTAGATGATAATATGTGATTTTTTTAATTTTATGGACTAAAAGAATATAATTGTACAATTCGTATTATAATTCTACATTCTTATTTTTTTATAAAGATTTTGGTGATGTGATTTCACTTTTTATCTAATATATATGTTGACACTTATTATAACAATTATCAACCTTGAAGTTAGATTCTTTATAATACAAATATATGTTGTATTTTCTTTAATACTTCTCTTCTTGCTTAAAAAAGAATTTGAAGTAAATCCCATCAATTTGCATATCTTCTACTTCCAAATATTTGCTAGAATTAGAGAATGTAGAAGACACCAAATAAAGTTGTGGCATAGACAATCAACATTTATCTTGTTAATATTGAAAAATTTGATTATTACATTTCAAAGCTTGACTAATGGATTCATTGAGTGATTGAGGATTAGACATTGATAAAAATGGATTCTCCACATTACCTTGTAATTTCTAGTAAAATTGGCTTAATAATGCTTATTCTCTCTAATTTATATCATATATTAATTATCAAAAATCTAAGGCATAAAATGATGTAGAACATGATTATTATCAAAGGCTTTTAATTTCGATTGCTACAAAACAAATCTTGTGATGTTTGTCAAATACTATGTCAAATATTGCTACATATATCTCAAAATTATATAACATAGAAGAATTCTTTTAAAGTAATAGAATAAACAAAGTCAATTCTTATCTCAAAAGCAGAGTTCCAACCAAATCAATACAAGATACTTTTATGTAATATCACTAAAGTTAGAGCAAAGTAATTAGTTGTACTTGATTTATGAAGCTACAAAATTTTGAATAAGTTTTATTAAATTTCTTCAAAAAACTAACTTTTAGTTCTTTTGCTATTGAGATTAAATTATTGTCTCAAATACATACATCTTCTAGTGAAGTAGACCTTGATGATGGAATTCCTAAGATGACTTATGATTGTTGTGAAGGTGGTTCTATTCTTTGACCATTATATATAGTCATATAAAGTTCTTCATTTTGTTTAGATGAAGTCTCTCTTTTCACTCTCAATGCTTCAAGAACATATATAATTGAATGTAATTTAGCTTCTTTAGAATTTGCCATATTGAACTCATCACTTCTTGCCATAGAAATAAAATAAAAAGAAACATATACAAGAAATCAATAACAATATTGGTCTAGAAGAAGATAATCTACAATGTCTAAAGAGCTATACTACTTTCAATAAGAGGGGTAACGTCCTCTATATATTTAGGAAGACCAAGCTCCAATATTATATACATAAAACTCAACAAACTGAGATGAACATTTAGATTTAGTTGGATAAGACTCTAAGAATTTAAGAATATGAAATAGAAGAAATTCACTTCATATTACAAATAAAGAGCTATGACATGGCATAAGAACAAAACCAAAAGATTCAAGTTGAACCACAAGGATTGCATTGTTTTTTTACAAGTAATAGTATCTTGAATATGTACTTAATTAAAATAAATATAATAGAATTTCATATTATATATTTAATATGATATTAATAAATTTGTACAATAAAAATGGATTATTATAGGTCTCATTTATATCATTTCACATACTTTGTAAAGTTAATCTTTTAATTTTCCAAATATAGGAAAGCGCCATGGAAGTAATAACAAAATACAACAGATTGACAAATAAGTGACATTAAATTCACTAAGGGATGACACAGAGTTGTGATAGACTCTCAGAGATCATTGTACTTGTCACACAGCTAGGACGTCACAGTTTTAAAATTGTGCATTAATCTACAAAGAAATGAAGTCGACAAGTCATTCTTTGAAACTAAACTCCATATACGTGATTTTATTGAATGATAGACAAAATACAAAGTGATGGTGTGAGACTGAGTGCACTGCATTCCACCTTCCACAGCCCAACTAAATGAAAACTTCCATTCATGAAGTCGTGAGGTAATAGAACAATACTGTCATGGAGTGTAGATGTATTTCATCTCATTAAAGTTTCGTTTGAACTTGACGTATACAAGCCTCTTCAACAAGTACGAAAACTTGACTCATCATAGTAAATCCCCTCTGAATGTTTTACATATTAAAATGAAGATTAAAACCAATTACATGCAACAATCTCTTAAGCAACAACCCAGATTAAAATGCAAGTTTTGTTTGGTTGCAGATGCGAGTTCAACTACTGAATTTGTATGTACATTTACTTCACCTGCCACAGTGCTCATAATACGAATGGCTAATTGATTTAACTTGGTAGACGAAGAAGGAAACATCTCAATTTAATAGTTTTGTGTCAAATGCTAAGAATCTGTCAATTTCATAAGTATGCATTGCATTGATTTCTAACAGGTCTACATTTGAAACAATTTCAGTTCGACTAAATAATTAGATGTGTTAAGGTGAATACTAGCAACGGGGAAAGCTCTGAACCTGGCATGAGCAACATCTAGAGATGCATACTTTGCTTTCCAGCGAAGAGGAAAGCGAACAGCACCTATACAAGCCATAAATCTGCCAAGGCGTGAGTGCGGATTTCGTTGACAAATTGTCATTTCACTGTCAAATCCAAAATCTTACGAAGTTGTAGCGCCTGCTGATAATTAACGACAGTAGCGTCACTTGTATCCAAATTTCTCGCTAGCTCTTTCAGGATTCCACTGCGTTTTTGCCACAACACCTGAAACAACCAGGCCTCCTAAAGAGTCACAAACTGGTGGCAGATTTCAGTTTCAGAATTGAAAAAACTAAAAAAAGACATTATCATACTTGAACATTAAAATTTTGACACAAAAGAAATACTCGAAAAGGTATCAAGTCCTGGACATCTTCGATACGTTAATTAATAAAGACTTTAGAAGGATAAAAGGTGACTTGTCTAATAAAGAGCGGCATGGCACAAGACGCATTCAAACGACTTAATCTTCGCCAAAAAGCTGATTCCAATAGGAAAGCGAATGAGAACTCACCTCTTGTACTTCTTTTTAGACCCACAAGGGCAAGCGGCATTTCTACTGATGTTTCCCGTCTTCGCTAGATTCACAGAAGCTGCTGCACTCCAGCTGCCACCCATGAGGGCTTCGACCTTTCAAAAACAAATAAATAAATAAATAAGTAAACAGAAAAAAAAAAAAAAAAAAAAAAAAAAAAACGAACCCGTTAACAGAAATCGATGCAGTAGAACTGCGTGACACTGTCCATAAACTGGGGAAGTTAATTTTCTGAGAAAAGACAGGGTGAGTACCTCATTCAATGTCTTCGGTAAAGGCTTGCCTTCCGCTTCGAGTTTCTTGACACGCCGATTAGCTTCCTTCGCCCACTCATACTTTGAAATCACGTTCTCCACGTCGAATACTGTGCACCCGCACTCTGCAGCTACATCAGCCTTCTGCTGTGCTCCTACTCGCTAAACAACCACCATGCCCAGCAAGAAGACCCTTCTTTATAATCCATATTTTAGAGGCGCAAACCTGCATATCAAGCCTCTCACTGAACAGCACTTCTTTGTACTCTACAAACATTCTGTTCTGGATTAACGTATCTTGGCTGCTTACATTTCTTATTTCCACGCAAAATGTTTAGATGAGATATAGATGTATCTGCTCGACCCACAACATTTTCTTCATTATAAGAGACACTTAATAATCAAGTTCGTTTAGGCGCAACTCGATTTCTATTGATTCCAACTCCAAAGCACGTAATGACTAAAGGAATCGCTCTCCATTGAATCCAAGACCCTAAATCACAGGTACTCATACTTGCAGGGCACACCAAAGCGCCTGCACTTATCTTGAATCAGCCCCTAATTCTATATTAAAAAAGGAGCCTCGACGCTAATGTTCAAAATTTGAAAGGAGCATACAGACAGACACTTTACCACAGGATCTCGCTTGTGCAGTGCACGGAGAATTTCTTCTTGTCTTTGTAAGGACTTGACTGCCGACATTTCACCTCCGCGAGGAAGTCCACGTCCAAACTGGGTCATGCTTCCGAATCGACGGGCCTTCCCAAGCTCATCTGCAAAATCTGCAACAATACCACAAATCATGAATAACAAGTCAGAGCGATTCGCGAATAACTAAAACCTTACTACGTAATTGGGCACTGTCAGCGAAGGCTTTGGTATCAAATCATTGTTGCAGCTTGATGCAGTCTGTCAGGGAGGAGAAAAGAAACGTGTGCACTTACTTTCCATGGTGAAGTCCCCGGGTAGAATAGCCTTGGGATCAGCAACCTTCGGTTCAGGACCCTGAGGCCGCGATTCAGAGGATGGTATCCCCTTGAACACTCCCTTCAGCTTCTGGAACCATGAAGCAGATCCCTCACTTTGGCCACTCTCCGACGACGTCGCGTAACCAGCCGCTGTTGATACACTTCCATGGCCCTGAGGCGAAAAACCCAACACCCCAGGGCATAACCTACGACACGGGTCCCCGCGAGACAAACGCGAAATAAGGCGCTGCCGCACGAATGTTCCCATGGGCCGCAAAATTAAACAGGACGAATCGAAAACTCTGCAACGTGCACACAGGAGGGGGAAGAAATTACAAGAATGGAAATGCTTGGACGATTCAAAATCAGGACAACAATCTGCTGCCCAATGTTCACAGACGCAAACGCCCATATCCACCCAGTAAACCGACGAGCAAATCCCACGAGAACGTACCTTGAGACCAGGAAGCAGATCAATTGTTACCGCAAAACACGAAAACGGATGTAACCACTAAGCGAAACCAAGGAAGAGGAGAAGGCAAAATCGCGATGTGCAAGTGCACCGAGACCCCAGTGCCAGCCGGGGCTTCGGGTTTAGGGTTTAGAGGAATTTCTTTGAAAATTTCTAAGCGGCTTCGGAGGAAGAATTGCCCTTCACAACCAAATTCAAAACAAAGTGAGGTGCTTCCAATATCTTGAAAGGTCAGCTCATTTCGTAACAAATTTAATAAGTTGAGATTTCTTCGAAATCCTGAAAAGATATCAAGAAAATAACTATATTGGATATCCATTTCTACTAGTGCCCTGATTTTGTAATTGAAGATGTAGTAAGATCATTTATGCAATTGTTCTAAATCAAATCTATAATAAACTTTGGTACAGAAAACCATTACAATCAGCTATGGTCATAAATTTAGAAGAATGTTAAATTGATCCACTTAAATCAACCCACCACAATGTGGCACCACAAATACTGGAAGACTCAAACACCTAAGATTTTTCTTGGTGGTCATAAACAGTATGTACCAAGTACTAGTGTCCCACCACCACTACGACGTCCAAAATTATTTGCTTGAATTAAGGGATATGTTATTTAGGTTGTAAAACTCTAGTCATTTATTATACAATGAAATAATGCTACATAAATTTAGGTTTAAGATAATTAATTTTTGTTTGTTTGTTTTTGTTCTTTTTTTTCTTTTTTTTTTTTTTCTTTTTTTTTTTTTTTTCTTGCGTTGTTATGTAAAGACCACCTTCTCACACATCATTTGGCATAAAATCTTTTCACACAAAGTTGTCTCATATATTGATATCATAATCATTTAAGTTATTATGTCAATTATTATAATAATCTTGTTCTACAAAAATGTATAGAATGTCACATATTATATCTAAAAAATTTACACTTGTAATCTTGCTACTTATTTATTTTTAAATGTAATCTCTAAAGACTTTTAAATCTATCATTAAGAATGTTAGTGGAATGCTCTATTTTGGTTATAATTAATATCAAACATTTTTATAAAGCCTAATTTCTTTGCTTCACTAATAAGTAAATTACATAAATCTTAAAATCAAAAGAATTTTTTTTGGATGAATTTTTTTCCAAAAAAAAAACAGTTATTTTTTTTGCAAAAAACATATTACTTCTTTCTAAGTAAACTATTATGTTATTGTAATCTTTTTTGTAAACTATACAATAATGCCAAAATCTACTTAAAAGGTTTAATTTGATTTTATTTAATTTCTACATTCATATTATTGAAAAAATTAAATCAATATAAAATTATTATTAATGTGAAAATTTCACACTTCTGTTCAGATTCATTGTCTTTTGATTATGCATACATGATGGTGTAAGTTTTTTTATAATAATTTACAAAATCTTTCAAAATTTGTTTATGGTGTTTGTTAGTATCTATGTTTTAATTAAATATTTAAAGAAAATAAGAAAATAAGAAATAAAAATTTCCCAACATAATGAATATATACACAAGAAGCAAAAATAAACCTACAATTTTATTTTTAAAAAATATTAGGATTAATGCTATAAATGTCTTTTACATTATACATCCTAAAGTTAAATCTTAGTTGGAAACCTTATAAAAAATCTAAATCATTCAACTCACTTTGAAGAATTATTTTTGATGCATAGTTATTGACAAAAATCTCATCTTCAAAAATACAGAAGGGATCAAATCAAAACATTGTTTTACAAATTGTAAGCAGAAATTCTCCTTTGTGATATAGTAGACTATAAGCCATTTTTAAAAATGTGCGACATGGTTTTAAAACTTGAATCTAAAAATATAAGTAACAATAAAATTTTATATTTATTTTATTTTGTCTTGATATTGTAGGCATTAAAATATCGACATAATCAGTATATGCAATGCAACATTATTTTCTAAAAATTCATTTAAAAATTTAATTTGAGTTGATTTTGAATAAATTCAGCTCTAATATTAAACAATGTTGTATTTACAAGGTGAGCTATTGTATATGTGTAAGAACAACATTGTCTATCATAGAATACATTATGTGTAATTGAAAGTTTTCACAGTTTATGACTTGTAATTATTATTATATATTTTTTAAATTTTATTTGCATGAAGTGAAATAGAGGTATCACAATCACAAGGTCAAGGTAACGTTTGAATCATGTAATTTGAGTGTAGTTTATTATGATACAAATAAAAAGCCCTAAAAACTACACAATACAACAAATTGCAATGGGTGTACTACTAAAAAATATATCAAAAACCAAAAGAACCCAATTTTGGACTATGAATTCCAAGGACATTCTTATATAGTTTTGTGAACAAGGTCACAATCTAAGAATCAGAGTGAAGCTTTCATATAGTCATAATGCTATTTTAGTATGCATCAACAATAAATAAATAAATATACCATAACAGCATAGAAGTTGAGGTTGTTTTGCCAATTTCATTAATATAGAATGTTAGTAGTTAAATTAACAGACACTTATCACCTCAAAGACAAATCCAAAACAGTATACACAAGAAAACCTATAAAAATTACCAAAATAATTTGCTAAGCTATAAAAACCTCCTCGAACAAATTTCTCAGCAACATTAACAAGGGAGCAACAGCAAAAAGGCCCCTATTGCTCACTCTCAGGCACTCTATTAAACACAATTATTGGGTGGCAAAGGCCCTCATCATAATTCACCAGATTTTTGCTACCTTACTTGGACTAAAGAAAATGGGGGTTGTCTGCTGAGTTCCAGAGGCAGGAATTGAAAAAATTAATTAAATAAATAAACACATACTCGAAAATGAATGCAGGGAATAATATCTCGAAACCTTGTCACGCGGTGTGAATAAGGAGACGCTTAGGAGTGAGCAGGACTGGAGTGTCGGCAGGAGGGACGGCGGGGCAGCCCCGATGTCGATCGATAAACTGCTGCGACGACGACGGTATCAATCGATTTCACCCTTCCGACGACGACGGTATCAATCCATGAATCCATCCATCATTGGAATTGGGTTCATCTGATTTGGGCCCTCCCTGCTGCTCCTACAGCGGGCGGGCTCCTCCTCATCCAAATGGCCATATTGCTGTACCGTGGATTGGTGGAATGCAGCACACTTTGCACTTCGCCCTCCATCCAGACTTGTCACTACTGGCCTTGCTGCTCAATCGTCTCTCCTCTTCACTGCTCCGCGATTTCACCCCACTCTCTCATTTGCACACGTCCCTGGTTCTCATCACTGCCCCATCAGATTTTTTGAGTTCACCCTGAATACGACGAATCTTCCGATTACGCTGAAGGTGAGTGCTCCATTAGAAGCATGGAGATTGCTGTGAAGTTGTTGGGGGTGGAGTTTCTCTTGGACGTTTGCTCGTTCCCAGTGCCGTGTAAGTGAAATGCCAAATGGGGTCTTAGGTTGCCCCTCAATTGAAATTTGCGAGGGTTTGTGGGGGAATTTAGACTTGGATCTGAGATAATTTGTTCGAAGGGTAAGGAACCGGTGGCGTGGAGTTGTTTTGGAAGCATTTTGGGAGAGTTCGAAGTGATCCTGAGCTGCATTGGAATTGGGTCGATCCTTGCTGCGGCATTCTGTGCGATTCTTCTGTTGTATCTTGATGAGTAATTAATTTGCATTTTTTTGAGCTCTGTATTATGAAATGCATGGTGCTTAGGAGAATGAATCCACCTTTTTTGTTTTGTTTTGTTTTGTTTTTTTGTCGTTGCTATAGCTTAAAAACAATCTACATTCCGAAGTCAATTGAGGAGTTCTTAGATGGAGGATTAGGAGTATAGTTATAAATATTTTGTATCGAATTGCTACCAGTTGGGATGGTTCCTGGCAAACTGACCCGTGACTGTTCAATGATTCCTTGTCTCTACTCAGAATACGACGTTTGTCCTGGCCTGAGGGAAGTTCAGGAGGGGTGCACCCGCAGCGCCTAAAGAATTATGTGAGAGTTTTAGTGTATTCTGCTGGTAATTACTCGCAGTAATGGCTGTAACGGCTGCAATGGCTGCGAGGCTGACTGTATCGATTCCGTTGTCTTCTCTATCCTCAACACCCCGGCAAGGCCTCCACACCCTCCCTGCAGCCTCCCGTATTGCCTTCTGGAGGTCCGGCTTGATAGAAAATGTAGGTTCTGCGTCGAGGTTCACTTTGTTGCACTCTACAGCTACTTGGGTTCGACATCCCAAACCGAACCGTTTTCTGCGAGCTGCTCAATCGAGTACCGACAATAAGAATGCGAAGGACGATAATCTTGAAATAACGAAGCAGAGGCTTCAGGAGTTATCGGTATGTACTCTTTTCTCTGCATCTACACTCCAAGGATGTTGAAGCACGTGCTCCAGGGATTTTGTCAAGGCTGGGTAATTGTTTTGTTTTTGGTTTTTTTTGTTTTCAAAAACGTTTCATGTCTCTTCTGCCATGGTTTCAAGTTCTCGGTCCGATTAATTCTGTACACATTCTCCGCAGCTACATGAGTAGCACTCTTGAGGAATTCGCTTGGTTTTACAATAGTAACCAGTGTTCTCTAGATGGAGACGTGAAATTTGAAGAGTGCTAGAGAAATGACTTGGAGGCAGTTCAAGTGCTCCAATTAGATAGCATCTAGGCTGATTTGAATTGAATTTGAGTTGTTCGACTGTAGGCAAGCTTGGTGCTACCTGCCAACTACTTTGAGAGGTTGCCCAGTGACCTGCGGGTAGATGTAAGCAACCACTCACACTTCCGCCAAATTTTTCCTTGCTAAATTTAAATATAAAATCAGCTCACGCTCGATGTTGCACATCCGTGAGGATTTGTTACCGAATCATTTTCTACATTCTTGTGGCTTCTCACCAATGCCTTGATATCTGACTGCGAGTGTCTAATACTCTTGATCCTTTTGGGGACAGTGTAAAGATGCAGCATTCGCACTGTCAAATGGAGCCCTCAACGACGAGGTCAACGCCTTGAAAACTTCTCTCTAGTTGATACAGTTTGACATGGCCAATTAACTGAACATCTGAATTTCTTGTCTTCGTCTTTGTTCGATTGCGTCTTTCTCAGAAGAGTTGTGTTTGAATTGGTTTTACATTGAGAGAGGCTTTTCTCACAGTTTTACTTGATATCCATTCTATGTTAGGGTGTTACAGTGTGGGGAGCAAGCAGGAGACTTGCTGATGCAATTATCACGAACATGGGAGAGGTGTGACACTTCAGCCGCTGCGGCTGTTGCTAAACAACTCCCAACGCTCTTGGACAAACTACCGAATCAATCAAGCTCGCAATCTGGTTCGTCGGAATGTTTGTCTTTTCCATATATATTTACTGTCTATCAGGGAGATTGTGGGTACTACATTTCAGTAGTTTAATGTTTTTACTCCGAATAAAAGGGCTGTTATTTCCTATCTTCTGCAGTCGGAAGACGTTTCGTTCGTGCGGGAAGGTTCTTCACTGCAACAGGGCAGTATGAAAACGGAGAACTTCTCAAGGTACATCGACCTAAGAGTGCTACGTCACAATGTCCTGTTCAACCTCTTGAAAATCCCACGGATTTACTACCTTTCCAAAAAGCAGAACGTTATCATGCTACGTTTGTTATTGATTTCTTACATTTTGGACTAGGCGCTATCACAGTCGACGGTTTAACCTTCCTCGAATGAGAACTTCCGATGCTGGACTTATCACGGGAGCTATTGTGCAGATTGGAAAAGCTTTAACTGCTGCAGGAGAAGCCTTTTCTGTTGGTGATCTTCCAGTTACGGAGACACCTGTGGCTACTACCAAAGCCTTCAAGGTAAAACAGACACTGTTTTCCAACAGATGTAGTTTACACTCACATTAGAATTGGTAAATCATTTTTCATATTGCAGAGCTTGCAGTATTTGAATCTCGTGAACTCGATGCATCAATTCAAATGAGTGCGTGGCAATAAAATAACATACCTATAATATTAGAGGTAAACAATGATTACAATATTTTATTTTATTTGTTTTTTTCTCGCATACCTCAATGATTTTCGTGCGGTAGATTGTGGTTATACAAAACTAAAAATTCTCAATGAATTCTCGATATTTTAGCTCTGTATATTCGAACCAACGACGGTATCCCTGGAATGTGAAAAGTTCTCTGATTCAACATGTCCGTGACAACTTTTGTGAGCAGTTTGGAGACCTTCAATTGGAAATCACAGCGCAGAAGGCTTACTTCGGAGCTGCGGTGTCCGTCGTCTTTGGGTAATGCCTCTCATTTTGCTACTAGTTACCGAAACCCCACTGATCTATGTAGGGAGGGTGCTCAAATTGAGCAGCTTTCGGTAGATTCTGGTGTCTTTTTGTGTTCACACAAGAAACCTAAAAACAATTAACCTAGAGGTGACACTTCATGAAGATCTCTGGTGCTAAATGTTAGAAATTCACAGATGTTAAAAATACTTCTAATACGGATACGTGGGTGTTGGGGGACTGGCAGACTGTTGTCATGGCAATTGACTTCTGGTCTGCAAAACCAATCAGACAACTCATTGCAGTTTGCAAACGACAACGCATTCCTCCTTGCAACGGTAGTCAGCTTTCTACATATTCTACTTCTTCCTTGTATTGCAGCTGATGTCTCGATGCGGTTGGTATAACACAGAGAAGTCTTTCAATCTTAATGCTGGTGAATTTTTTCGTGTTGTGTTGCAGTCACTGCGAGGAGCTTTGCTGGCAGCCGGTTATTTCTGTGCTGTGCTATCAGCACTTACTATGGTTGGTCTTCTTGTCTTGGCAAGCACAATTGGCAAAGAAGAGAAATAGTGACACTATTCAGCAGCCCAGAAAATTAATGACAATGAAGAATCTTTCCAGCAATGAATAATTTTGATTTGCTAGAAATTGCCAACAATTGTGTGCCTGAAAATAAGCTGTGGATTTTCTTGTACTCGATCGACATCTTATCTTACATATATAACATGGCTATAAATAATATAAATAATATTTATGATATATATAATTGTTGTTAAATATCAAAAATAATTTAACAGATACATCATGGTCCTACACATTAATATTATATTTTGAGGAGGGAATAATGAAACAACATAAAATGCATCGATTTAACATTTACAGAGTGCATTTATTCCTGGTTTTTTTTTGATTTTTTTTTCAAAACTGGGTAATTTATTGATAACAAAAATCTATGATATCTATATTACTTTTTATTGATTAATGAAACACATATTTAATACTACTTGTAATTCATTGTATTTCGTTGGTTTTTTTCTTTGGTTTCAATGGTTTTAATTTTCACAAAATAATCCTTAATTTATTCTATAAGTAATTTTTTAAAGTTTTGATTATAGTAAGGATTTGACAAACTATAAAATATTTGATTAAAATTACTTTAAACTATATATTGAAAATTTTTAAGAATAATTAAATAAATAAAAAATGTCTCCAAGTCTTATTTATATTTCTTCATAAAATTACAATCTTTAAAACTAAGAATATATATATATATATTTTTGTATTAGGCTTAAGAGTCTTATTTTTTAGGTTTTTTTTATTAAAAAAATATTTCAAATAATATTCAATAATATAAATTCAATTATTTCTATGTTGTAACTATAAAAAATGGATAAAATTTTGGATTCTTCTCCAATAAATCTACTTTTAGACAAAGAATTTTTTTAAGGTAGGAATTTCATTTTTTTACATAAATCTTCTTAAGCATTTTTTTATACATTTGTTATAAAATTTTGACTTGTATATATCTATTGATTTTATATTGAAAATTTTAAATGTTTTATATATTAAATTTTTAGCTCAAAAATGTAATGTGATTGGAAAATATGATACTAAAAAATTAATATTTTTTGACATTTTTAATTCATATATTTCTTAATATATTCTAGTTTCTTTATATCTTATATGTTCTTTTCATTTCTCTACTATCTTTCTTTCAATGAGATAAGAAAAAATTGTTTTGTTTTGATTCATGTCTTTGATAGTTATTTTCTTTTAAATCTTTTTTGTTCTTTTTAAAGAAAATAAAGAATACACTACTTCTAGCTTTAAACATGTCATTTTGGTTAATCAATTTTCTATGTAATAGAAATGCTTAATTCAACAATTATATTCTAATCATTTAAACATTAGTACGTGCATATAATTAAAATTAATGATTAAATTATATTTGATAGACCTAAAAGTTTCTAACATAAATTCTTAGTTATATGTAATTACATATAATTAAGTTTTAAGTACCTAGATTTGCAAGAAAATATCAACTTTATCAATAAAAATTGAATATTTTATTGATAATGTTCTGTATTTGAAGTATTTAAGAAATTACTATTAAAAAAACATAATCATTTCTATTTATTTTTGTAAGAAGTGATTGGAAGTATTATGATTCACATCATTATAAGTTAATATTCAAAGAACATATACCAAGAAGCTATGAAATATGATTCACATCATTATAAGTTAGTATTCAAAGAACATATACAAGGAATTTATTTCATAATTTCTAAATGGCTATCAATCTTGAGTTGATCGAGTAAAATCCTTTGATGTACAAAATTTGTTTGATTAAGATAAAATATAAATTAAATTAATAATTGAATTATTATTCAATATTAAGGTCTAATTCATCAAATATATGTACATGGTAGAACAAAATTAAGGTACTATAAGTAAGTTATTTTATATATTATTATTTAAAATAATAAATTCATATATTTGTTTTATACTTGTTATTAGATTATCTAATCATTGTATTATTGCTATTAGGCTTAATATAACAACATATATCATATTTGGCAATCACATATACTATAGTTGCAAGTCCCAACAAACAAGCTCTAATCCCTCTTATTGTGCTTTGAATCATTGAAGAACTAATTTTTAAGTAATTGGATGCTCTTGATTTAAGGTCTTGATTTAAAAATAGATTTCTTAGTGAGAAGCTTTAAATCACATATATACAAATATATTATATGAATAAATATAGATTCTAATAGTCCATGTTTATTTAATTGATAATACAATATAACATATTTAAACTCAATTAAAAAAATTCTACACATTTACATCCAAAATATTATAAAATAATTAAAAAATTATATAAATTTTAATTTATTATTTGTTGATAGAAGATTAAAAGAGATAATATTACTATTTTTTATTTTGTATCAATCTATATTACCAATTTAGAAGAATTTTAAAAATTAGTGAGCATATTACAAAAATTACTTCATTTTAAATAAGTGTGATTTTATTAATTTTGTATAAGCTTTTTTAATAACAATCTTATATAAATATCAATAATTACATGATACATCATTTGCAAATTTTTTTTAAAAAAAACTCTTGTTAGTAGATACTTTTGATATAAAATGATAAATTATATATAAGATTTATTAGTGTAGAATTATATTTTCATTATAAGGATATATTATAATTTATAATGAGTATCTTTAATAAAAAAATAAAAATAGAAAACAACCTTAAAATAATTTGTTAGATTTAAAGCTTGTGAAAAGCTAGAACAGTCATTGTTTTGAGCTATACAATGCCATCCATTCCAACAAAATACAATAACAATAAATATTCAAATAATATACACTAGTAATGTGTTCTAAAAAAATACTAGTTTAGAAATACCAATTGACTATTGTTGAACTAAGAAAAACTTCTATTTTAATAATTAAAGAAAAAACTTAAACTATTAGAATTATTAAGTGCTTAGATAGAGATAATGGTATACATGCAATTCATAAATGAGAGTATAGAAGACATGAATCACTAGTTTATTGTGTCAAGTTTATATTAAATTTAATACTCTCAATAGCAAGAATTATATAAGTCAATTAATTACTAAGATTAATATATATATATATATATATATATATATATATATATATATATATTTTATTTATTTATCTCTTTATCACTTATGCCATAGTTTTTTTTAACTTTAGAAAGTTGTTATGAAGCATAAGCTATCATCTGCTTATTATCATTAATCTGTTGATTTAAAATTGTACCTACCACATTGTGATTAGTGTCACAAACATATATATTTACTCTAATATGTACTTATATGATTAAGTAGAAGTATATAAAAATAGATTTATTTCATAATATTTTCTAAAAAAACTTCTTAGAAGCTTCATAGATGTTGCTTTGACTTTACATGTCTTTGTAATTGATTGATAGGTTAAAAACTTGATCAACAAGTTAATTACATATTGGTAGCTTGTGGAACAAGCTAATTATATGGTGCACATATAAAAAACTTGCTTTGTAAGTTAAGATATGTATCTTACAAAGTCAACATATTTTGGAGGTCCTATAAGACATTGCCATGTAGTTCTTAGTTAAGAGTATATATGGAGGCAAGAATAAAGCCTTCTTCACTCTTGTAAATACCTTTCTATTTCATTGTCTTATTTCAAGACTTTCTAATCTTCTTATCTTTGGTAATAGCCATTTTAGTTGAATACTATATCATCTTTGAGTGATTTTTTAGTCTTTTCAAGTGACACAAGAGTGTATTGACATTTTAGTTTTTAAAGATTTATGTCCTTGATAGTTGGCATTGATCTATAGAATGAATAATAAGTAAAAATGAAAATAAATAAACAGAGAGTAGTATATATGTTGACCTTGAATTTATCAAAGATAATTTATTTAGCATTGTTCTAAACTAAGACTAGTCTTTTCTTCTTTATTTGATAAAGAAGTGTAACGATCACATCAAAGTTGCAGAAAAATCTTTCATAGTAATTCACCAACCTAATAAATAATTGAATGTATTTGACATTGCTGAAAGTTAAAAATTATCACTTTTCACATACATTATCTAAATCAAGATATAGCTCTATAATAGAGACAACAAGGCCAAGGTGTGTAATCTCCATTAAGTCAATTATGCAATTTTTGGCCTTTAATTTGACTCTTATAATATAGATGCAAGCAAAAATCTATCAAAGGTTGTTGAGATGTTGATAAATGAAGATGGTAATTTTTTTAATAGAGTTTGAGAGAGGAATATGTCAAAATCCATTAAAAAAATTAATAGATAAAAAAATAATGGCTTCTTAAAATTGATCTAATATATCATCAATGTATAGAAGATGATGTATATCATCTTTGTGATAGAATTCAAGCAATAATAGTCTATGCAAAAGTAGATTTTATTACCATTCTTTTCTACTAAGATAACAAATAAAGCTTACAAAGAGAAAGAATAGCTAATAACATTGACTCCAAGTAACTTTTGAACTTGAAATTTAATTATTTTTGTTTGTCTATGTTCCCTCAATAGGTGATTTATTGAATGGATGGTGCTTTAGTGATAAAGTTGTGACCAATTAAGGTGGTTTTGCCAAAGAAAGTTGAATTGACACTAAAAATATTGAAATTATTATGAATGAAAGAAATAATATTGTATTATTACTTAAATATGAGGTTGATATGAAGTTGGATATTAATCATAGTTATTAGAAATTTCTATAGGTTAGTTAGTTGGATGAATATAAGTTTAAATTGAGTTTCTACAAAGAGCATTGTAACACTAAGTTGAAGTACATCATCCAAACCAATATCAATGTTGGTTGTAAGAAAAAACTGGCTGACTATGTCATTAAGAATGGTTGTGAGGCAAACCAAGAATTATTACATCTAAATATGTATTAGAATAGCTAAAGCATTGGATACTATAAAAATGATTTTTCAATAATAACAATAATTTTAAATTTTATGAGCCACCATTGCATGACTTTATTTGAAGAAATATTGCTATAGTTGCAATTTAATATAGTGTTGTGTAGAACTAGAAAACCTAATGTTGATATGGTAAATATACTATAAAATTGAGAGTACTATATAGGGAGAATCTTTGCAAATAAGACTTAAGAGGTGATGAGGTAATGTCAAAGGCTAGATCTTTTAACCATTTTTTGAAAGTGTTTGATGCATAGTTGATTGTCAAGTAGACAAAAATTATGAAAGGTGGATCAATTGTAGTAGTTATTCTTAGCCACCAAAATAAGAAGTAAGGTAGGAGTGGATATTACTTCTAAGGTCATGGTCATAGTAGAGAGTAAGATCACATATGGAGCAATATTGTATAGATTGATAGACATGTGTAGATGAACATTATCTAACATACATGCTATTTGGATCATTCAATCAAGTCCAAAGAATATTTTATTACTAAGACTAATAATGGCATTTATTATAGTAGTATTTTTAACAATATTGATAATTATTGATACTATGTCTAGAAAGCAATATGTATTGGCTTTGGCTATGATTACTTGAATATCAATTAATTTGATGCATAAATTCAATAGTTTGATAATGGTTAATGATATTGTTATTATATTGCAATTCATATTGACAATCAATAGCTAATTGATATCTTAAATCTCTTAAAGTACAAACCAAGGTCTAATAAAGGCACATTTTTTGAAAAGATAGATACAATTGAGTTAGAAAAATACAATTGATATGAGAATTTGTGGTCTTTTAGTGATTCTCAAATTTCATCTACTTAGAGATGTAATATCTAATTTAAATTTATCTTGGGCACAAATTGAGCCTCCAATTTATTCTTCATATCACTAAGTCGTTTAAGTATGAATTGAAGTAATATACAACTAATTGTATTCTGCTCCAAGGTGTTTCAAATGATGTATGGATACACCTTTTGCTTAAATCTTCTCATATTGGAAGTGTCTTTGGTTATAGTAATGTCAAGCTTCTTTTAGCAAAAGTCAATTTATAATATAGATAACTACTTAAAAAGATCTTTTAAAGTGAGGATTTTTTCTAGGCTCTTGTGATCATGTGTAAGTTGATGTTAAAGCAATGATTGTAATAATTATATGTATTTGTGTTGGTAGAAACAATGAAATTGATAACTAAGGATTGATGAAATTTTTCTTATTGAAAGATCACAAATCCTAAGTATGAAAGGCATACATTTTATTGTCATAACATAGCTTTATCTCATAAAAATGTGTTGATTCTATCTTCTCACATCAAGTTTGGAAAAAATGATCATGTAAAGTATTGCAACACTATCTAATGCATGAATTTGCTCTTGTTACTAGTAGCCAATTTGAAGTAGTTAGTAAATTAGAAGAAATATAAATATAAATTTTTATCATGATAATTTTAGGTATTGTTGAAGTAGTCTCATGTCAAATTATGTTGGTTTACAGGAATGAATGACATTTTGTGCAAGTATTGTACTTGTGTCTAAGTAGATGGAGTTGAATAGTTGAGATAAGAATTTGAACAAGTCTTATGCATCTTCCAACAAAGAAGTGCAATATTGTGAAACACAATAAGTATTTGGGATATCATATGCATGTGCAATGGTGGTGAAGTTATGGACAAAGGTAAGGTAGTCATTACTAATGAAGAACTTTCTTAAGAAAAATATAAATAATTTGCTAAGATCAGTACAAGACTCAATATGTGTTATTATAGGTAAGGTAATTAACAATGTAGAGGTGCGAATGGAAGATGGTCTTCAAGGAAGCATGTTGTTGACTACTTCCATGTTAAGGCAAATTGTGTATAATACCTTATCTTTGTGTAAGAATTTGACTACTTGTTGTGGCATCATTACCACCAATTGCTTTTAGAGTGTTGACAATGAATCCTATAGAGTTGTAAGTGAAAGTACTTTTACAACAAGAGACATAATGATTCTCTAAGTTACAAATAGACCATTTTGAACTTTGTTGGAAGGATAATGGTTACGAATCCTTCAATGCTAGAAAAAGTTTGAATGTGTGAATTCACCATGCTTGCCACTACTCTTAATACGACAAGTTTTTCAACCTTAGAAGAAATTAAAGATATGATGAATGAGGTTTTTATCTTATCAAGTCACTTTCTATGGTAGTCTAATTGGATGTGTGTTCTAATAATTCTATTGGAGTGCAACAAAAAGATTGTGTTTTAGTGAAAAGATTGACTCTTGTTGCCAAGCTGGTGGAATATGGAAACCTCAAGAATATGTAAACCTCCTTGAGGATACTAATATCCAAGGCGAATGGGGGTACTAGAGTGACCCAAGCAAAGGCCGATGGTGATGAAATTGATAGCTCGTAATTTAATTTGCCTCTGAAGCACTCCGAGAGTGAATCTTAGATCAAGTCTAGCTGATTGAGAGGGAGTGTTGAGCTCTTGTTTTAATGCGTGCTAATGCTCTACCTGTGTTTTAAAGTCGATGAGGATTCTCCTCCGTGGGGTGTCTCCAAGAGCTGCTGATGTGGGTCTCTGCTGCCAGACGTAGGTGAAGGTTGTGCGGGATTTCTTAGTGGCATGAAGTAGCCCCCTCAATTGATATCTTCCATATTGAGTTGGATCTCGTACGCTAATCGTTTGTCAAAGCCTTGTAAACTTTTGGAGGAACTTCCAAATACGTTGACTCAGGATTTTCTCATGCGATTACTTGGCGCCTCCACCAAATAATTGGCCAGTAATGATTGTTTCCTCAGCCAATTAGGTGTGACTGACAATGCACAAGCTATCAATATTCGACAAGACAAGCTCTCACCAAGGGTGAACAGGACTTTGTAGTACATTATTACTCGGTGATGGCGTGAGGCGGCTGCGAGATGAGGCAGAGTATGTAGACCCATCAAACATTTACACATCCCAATACGTGCCAAAGCCGTTGTGTCAGGCAGTCTTTATATAAAAATAGTGTGAATGAAGCATTCCCGCTAGCCTTACAAGTCAAGCGCTGCTATGATCTCATTGGCCAACACAGTATGTGTGCTGAGCCCATTCCTTATCTCCACACCTGCTGGAGCTGCCATGATGTGCTCACTACGTCTCCCTCTCAGGGAGAAGGCTTGCGTGTGTATTGTTGTGGAGGTCCTCTTGAACAAAAGTAAAAGGCAAGGAGAAACGCGGAGGGACCAGGGCTTAAGAAAGCAAAAGTCACCAACCAGTGTAGGAGAGGGCAATGTGGAAAGGGCGAGGCTGGACACCCTCGCCGGATGTGGATGAATGGGTTCACTCATCCATCCATCATCAACATCCTCGTCTTCGTCCTCCTGTCTGTGTGCTTCCCTCCCTGGCTACCACCTTGGTCGGTGGCTCTCGTTGTGGCATTGTGGCTTTGCGGCTCTGCCCCGCCCCGCCCATGCTCTTGCCTTCGCGGCTCCCGTTCTCTCCCAGCTTTCTGTTGTCAGTTTAGGGTGTGCAGGGTTGTTTCTTCTTTCATTGTTATCTCTACCATCATCCTACCATCATCCCTTGCGCCCTCCACCGGATTTCCTCCCTAGGGTTTCGCAATTGTATTGTCTATCACTATGCGCAACTCTCGCTACGATCCCATTAAGGTCGAGCGCAAGCTGCTTCAAGCTGCTGCCACCGGCCACCTCTCGCGCCTTCTGCGGGTGCTGCGAAAGAACGGCAAGTACTTTGTCCACAAGCGCAGGAAACAGGACCGCAAGTCCTCTGTGGACGATGCGGACGCCGATGGGAACCGTCGCCGCAACAAGAAGAAGCGCAATGACGAGGGCTTGTCGGATATCGTTTCCGAGTTGGGGTCTGATACAGATGATGAGCCTTCTAGAAGCGGACATTTCAGTCACTCCTACGACTCCGTTGAGGAACTGGATGGGAGAAGGCAAAAGGGCAAGAGGCGTTCGCACTGCAGTCGGAAATCTAATCAAAGTGATGTGTTGAGGGAGGCATTAATTCATATTGACATCAATTGCGCGGATGCGGAGGGGTTAACTCCACTGCATCATGCTTGCTATGCTGGTTCTTCGGACTTGGTAGATTTCTTGATCTCAGGAGGTGCGGACATCACTGCTCAGGATGCCAAGGGGAATACTCCATTGCATATCGCAGCACGCTATGGTTTCACGGATTGCATTGCAAAGTTGAGAGATGCAGGAGGGGACATGCTCAGTGCCAATTATGAGGGGGTGACTCCATTGATTGCAGTGGAGGCTAGACTTGAGAGATTGCGGAAGGAGAAGGAAGAGGATTTGAAACCCAAGAAGACCTACATAGAACCGCAAGACTGGGGGACTCGCTTAGAAGAGGAATTAAGCGATAATGAAAGTTGGTGGGGCCATAGTTGGGGTGAACCTCAGCCTAAGAAGGATTGGTACAGAGAAAATTGGTCTGAATTCCTGTACAATGATGATGAGGATGAATACGCGTTTCTGCGGACAAGCAGGAAGACGAAACAAAAAGACCCGCTTGAGGGCGGATTGTTGAAAGAGTTGAACGATAAACGGAAACGAGAGCAGGAGGAAAGGAATCGAGAAGCCAAACGGATCCTAGAGGAGGAAATTGCCAAGGACAGAGCATGGAGGGAGCGGGTTTTACAGAAGAAAAGCGATGACCGATGTAAGCTCTATGAGATCGCGTGGAAGAAGTTTTCGGATTCTCGTAATCTTTGTCTTAGCTACTCTGATGTACCTTTTCCGGTGGAGAAGGGCAAGGATGCAGAATTATCCAGGGTGATCCTGCACAACGCCAGTCCTTCAGAGCACAAGCAGTTGCTGAGGAAGGAGATTCTGCGGTGGCACCCTGATAAGTTTTTACAGAAATACGGTTCTAGGTTACAGGGTCCACATCACGATCGTATTTTGGCACGAGTAAATGAATTGTCTCAGGCCCTCCACCAACTCTACAGCAGCGTGTGATGCCCCTCAGTCTTGTGACGCGCTTCTCAGGACGTGCACAATCTTATGATATGGCAGCACGCTAGTTCGATTCCAGCACAACTGCAGTTCATCTGGGTGGACTTGAAGCTGTTTAAGGTATATTTCTAATTTTTCAGGTTTTACAGTTGTGCACGTTATCATACGCCCTTCAACTTGAGCACATAGTGCTGAAAAGAATTGAATTTCCCGTATGTACATCTTTTAATAAGCAAGCATTGGGTCGTGGGTGGTTGCGGCTCAGGCATGTGAGCTTCATCAGTGATTTCTTCAGAGGTCCAATTGTATGGCTCACGAGATATACAGATACAACATATTCTCGAAGGCAGGGACATTGTTACGAGTACATGGAGTGGACACCTTTTGCTTGGTTAGTTGGTGGGCGTCAAAGAAGGTATCCGTTCATTAGAACGGCTTTTGAAATTAATTTTCTCTGATGTTCGGCACGTTGAATATGGCATTGATACCTGCGAAATCTGAACACAACGGCATTTCCGAAGAAGTTGGTGCTGGGGAGAGGTCCTGGTGCCGTGGGGACATCTTTTCTGGTTCTTTCCTTGTCCTCCATCAGGCGACGTTAGCACATGAATGTGACTATAAGAGCAGTTGTGGTTTCCGTTCTGGTAGCAGCTTGCACCGGATATTAAAATTGTTCGTCGAGATCTATTTCCTCGATGTTTGTGTGCTTCCAGTATTACCTCGAAGAGATATGCGAAATAGTTTGCATTCCCTCTAAAGACTTTAAAACTACTATCAAAATCGGTGGTCATGAGGATTCCTTAGTTTGCACGTTTCCTCCAACCTGAAGTTCGAAAGATTGGTGTGTGAAAGAGGGGAAATTTTTATGTATTGTTCCGGCTCCCGAAATTGTACCCAAGTTTTAATCTGAATGAAAAGCCAAAAATTGTGCATCGCCATTTGAATTTAATTGTACAATTACGCCTTCTAACACGAACTTTTGTGAAATTCATCTATAAAGCTATTCAAAAACATCCATCTTTTTTAAATTTGACAAATTCTATTGAATTGTTTAGAATGAAAGATACTTTCAAGCAAGAAGTCTATGAAGCATTCTTCATACTTTTGTATCTTCCACCTATCTCCCACTAGTGATGGAGAAGTTGAATTTGACTATGCTCGTATTAAGAAAAACTTTTTTAAAGTTGTGAAAATTAGCTATTACAATGAGCCTATTCAATGTAAAATTTTTGTTTGCAAATTGGAGCACTTGTCAACAACATCCTTGAAGGTCATCTCTTCATGGTAGGCACACATATGGTTTGGCGGTCATTTTCAATATCCTCAATGGATTGAGAGTACCACTTAGTTGATTCTAATGGCAGCTTGTGCTGATGGATAGAAATATAAAGTAGAGATGTCTATAGTGTATACATATCATAGGACAATACTTTTGAAATATCTTTGTTATTGGCATTATTGGCATCCTTGTTGCGATTGCGTTGGGTAACAATAGATGCAATATCATCAATGAGCTTAGCTAACAAGACTGCCATGTTATAAACCATAGCCTTGGCCTCGACTATGGATAGTAAAGCCATGAGGCTTATTACAAAGGTACCTTGATCTTGAATGAAAGTCTTTGCACTTGTAAGAACCACATACTAGTATCTATAGATGACCAAATTTGGCATGTAGTAAGCTATGGCTAGAATCTCTATATTATGCAGACCTTGTGCTTTGCATAATCCTACTATGAATTGAATCAAGACTTTGAGCTAGGTTTTTTGTTGATTCAAAAGGGTGTTGTCAAGGCCAGGAATTCAAAGAAAATATATAAATAAATAAGAAATGAATCAAAAAAAGATGAAAAACTAGAAATAAGAAAGTGAATATATTTAATAAGAAACTCAAATGGCTATTGCTAAAGGCTAGAAAACTAGAGACTCTTGAAATTAGAATAAAAATAAGAAAAAAATTGACAAGAAAGAAGAGGGCTTTACTCTTACTTCTATATATACTATCTACATAAGAGCTACATAGCAACATTCTTTAGAACCTCTAACATGCTATCGTGTTGTAGTTTGGCTACCATGTGAAAATAATGTGATTATGTATTTAATGTACAATTTACTTAACAACATGGTGAGAGCCATATTATTGGATTTTAGTTGGTTGTAGAATGTGGTTAAATTATTACTTTAAAAAGATGTTATTTAAAAGGATTACTATCAAAATTTGTATAACTTTATTTTCTTTTGATAGTGGCTTTTTGAAATTGATTTTCTTGGTAGTAATTTTAAATATTTAGAATCTTCTTTATTAGACATTGGTGATCCTTGAAGTTTTGTTTTGATTCTTTTATTTGGTGTTTAGAGCATAAATTATATAAATCTTACAAGAAAAAGGATTGAAGAAGGGTTTTGGTAGCAAAAGGAGTAATTAGGGCACCAATATGGATGAATATAGATGATATAAATCTCTATTCTTATTGGCTAAAAATCATGTCCTATGGACTTCTAGGAAGCTGCCCAAGGCCATATTAGAGATAAGAGTTAGTTTTTCGGAGGGATTTGAGCCTTGAAGGCTAGGTTCAGCAAGTTTAGGTTTTTGGCTATGGTTTTAGTGCAAATTTTGTATGATTTGGATTTTCTATGAAGGAGATATAGGCGCTGAAAGATAAGGTGTTGATTTGGGAGCTATTGTCACTCTTTTTGATATAATGCACGCGTACAGAGGTCAATTGAGGATTGACGACTGTGACTGGAGAGAACACTTTTGCAGTTACACTTTTCACATACTGCTTGTTAGATTCCAAGTTATAATGAAAGAGATATTGAATTTTGAAGTCAGTGCATGCAATCTAAGGGTAGTAAGTGACCCAATTTACTAGTGGTTGTGTCTTGAGCTATATCTTGAATAATTTGGCAAGGTTTTGGCTCAAAATTTTAGAGGATGTTTATATTCATGTTAGTAAACTTTGTATATAAGTTTAATGGCATTTGAGTATTGGGTTCTTGAGATATTAAGAAAATAAAGCTCAGGTGCTTGTACATTAGGGTTTAGAGTATCTACTAGGGTTTCTTAGATTCTAGAAGATCGGGAGTGAATTTGCACTTGGTTTTTTTGTAGTACAATTTAAAGGTAAATTCTACCTATCCTATAAATTTGAGATAAATTGAATGGTTAGATCAAGAGTTATGAATTTCTAAAATTTGGGAAGAGAAAATCCTTCACGGAAAAAATATGTTTCGAAGGGAGTTTGCTATATTTTGAATTTTATGCAAATTAAAGGAGTTTTGGAAGCTAAGACAAGATATATATATATATATATATATTAAAATTTAAGCTAAAATTTCTACAGTTAGATATTTAATGTATTCTCAGATAGTACATCACGCGATATGATAACATGTTCAATTTGTAAGACACATGTTTTAACTTGCAAGGTAAGTTTCTTATTTGTGTACTATATATTTAACTTGTACTATAAGCTATCAATATGTGTGACATGTGGCTAACTTATTGGCCAAGTATCTAATCTACCAATTATCTATAGACATGTATAAAAGTGAAACCATGTCTATGAAGCTTTTACGAAAGTTTTCCATAAGTTATTATGAAATTAACCTACTTAAAATTATTTCTATCTATTCATATTATCTAAGTAACTATAGATATGTTTGTGATGTTATCCCTTCTTTTAAAAACAAACTTCATGAAGAGCAATGATCACATATTGAAGAAGTCCAAGATACAAGAAATTGTATTTATTACATATTATTATACATATCCAATAAGAAGATTTTGAAAATATTTTAAAAATATTCTATTGATTCATAGATGGTTCCAAAAGATTCTTAAAATATTCTAATAAAAGGCTCTAAAAGATTTTAAAAATATTCCAATAGAAGATTATAAATTTTTTTTTAGAATATTTTAGAAGGTTCTAAAAGATTCTTAAAATATTTTAGTAGATTTTAAAAAGTTCTAGGAAAATTAAGAAAGTTTTTTGAAAAGCTTCTTAGGATTACTTCAACTTTAAGCAAGATGGAAACTTCTCAAGAAGCTTCTCAATACCTAATATATATTGGAATTGAAGCTAAGAAGATAGTTAGTCTTGACAACATTTTTCTTGGAGTTCTAATTCACTTCTTTTTGTATTGATTTTGTATTCATGTAATTTGATCAAGTTCTTGCTAGCTTTCTTATTAAAATTCTTTTGTTTAATTTTTTTTTTGGTCTTTTGTATAATATATCCATGACCGTTTGTTGAGACTATTCTCTTATCAATACTAGAGCTTGATCCTTTTCAATAGAGAATAGATTATTCTTCTTTTTAAAGGCATGTAAGTGCTTTAGAAGTTACAAATTACTTTCTTCTAAACTGATATTGTTTAGAAACTTTCTTATTTTCTTTTAAGTTGGTTGGAGGTAAAGATGTTACTATGGTTTAGTTTCTCGAGTCTAAGTTAAATGTTATTATGAATATATCAAATGCTTTATGTTATAAAGCTATTGAAATTTATGAATTTTTTGTAAGATTTCATGGTAATGTAATACTTGAAGCAGTTCTGTTCATAATACAATTACTTTCTTAAGCTTTTATATCTAAGGAGGCTATGGCTTTTATACTTCAATAAGAAAACTCACTTATTTAATAATATAAAGAGCCTCAAATTACTCTTCTAGAAAAGTTGGATGACATATACTCCTAAGTTTTGAGGGTTTATTAACCAAATTTGATTGATAAATTTTCTACAATTTGAGTGCTATGCAACAAAGGAATCATGAATTGATTTAGTTGGAACCTTATTCACAAGACAAGCCATATCTTGATTTTTTTCTTTATTTGAAAAAAGATCTCCAATCATGAGCAATTTTAAAACTTTTTTAAAAGCATTTGTAAAGGTATTTGGAGAATATGATAAGATTCAATAGGTAATAATAAAGATTTGATTATTACATTAAGGGTCATGTTTTGCATTAATTATGCATCTGATTTTAGGCAATTGGCTTGTGATATCAATTGGAATGAATAAAATTTTATAAGCCAATTCTATTAGAGGCTAAAAAATGATATAAAAGACCTATTATTATTATTATTTGATCTTCAAATATTCAACAAAGCTATCAACCAAGCTATAAAGTGCAAGCAAATAAAGTGCAACAAAACTTCAAATATATGCTTTATTAGATTCAAGAGCATCTACTTAATTTTTAGATAATTTTTTTTTAAACTTCATAAAATTCTTTTGATACAAAAGTCAAAACTCATATATATAGAAGTAATAGATGGTCGACCTTTATCTTCAAATAATATTCTTCATTAAACTATACTATTAAAAATATCATTTGAAGGCCATAGTAATAAAATAATATTTAATATTATTAGAATTCTATTCAATCCTATTATTTTAGGACTTTTGTAGTTGAAAAGATTTAATCTATCTATAAGTTAGAAGTTTCATAAGATTGAATTTCCTATAAAACTCCTTTAAGCAAAACCTATCAAAAAGTCATTAACAACAAAGTCTTTATTTCTTGAAGCAAGGACTTTTATAAAGACAAATGAGGTAGAAATGCCATTTATAATTTATGCAATTCCAATTTGTGAAGAAGCAAACTTGCTAGTAGCTATTTCAAAGTAATATAAGGAATTTTAAGATATCTTTGGAAAGAAGAATGCTAATTTATTATCTTAGCATTGACTATATATTTATACCATCAATCTTCAAAAAAAGGCTCAATTAATATTTAATCCAATCTACAATCTATTATAGAATGAATATTTGATATTGAAGGATTACATCAATAAAAATCTTGTAAAAAATTTTATTCAACATTTCAAATCTCCATCATGTGCATTTATACTTTTCATGAAGAAAAAAGATGGATCTTTACAAATATGTGTTGATTATAGCGGCCTCAATAAAATAACCATAAAGAATTATTATCTATTATTATTGA